AACAGTAGAACATAAAAATTTCTAAAATGTCTGTTTCCCTCCTCCTCCCACCCACATAAATGAAGGATTTAGATAAATGGGGTGTGTACTATGGGACGATTAAGGGGAGGAGAGAGCTGGTGGGGGGGGGGGGGGGGGGGGGGGGGGGGGGGGGTAGTCTCTCGTAAGTTTGTCTGCACGTGAAGAACCCAATTTTCTCTGCCTCCCCAACACGTTTTCCAGGGCTCTTTAATAAGCGTCGAAACCGGGCACGGAGAGCGGGCAAATGCAGAGCGCTAGCGTTCATCCCAGCTTTCCTGGATATTTAACTGTAATATCCGCAAACAAGCGATTCCTGGGGATGAGGCAGCAACTTAATCAAACAGTTTTGTCCAAGCTTATTCTTACCATTTTCAAACCAAAATCGTGAACACCTGTGCGTGACAACACAGCAGTAATTAAATATGACTATTTATTACTACGGGGTCGGGTAAAAAATAACACTTACTACACACTCAGTGATCAACCACCTTTTATAAAAATATATATCTTCGCTCTCAAATGTACCTTTACGATTGGCTCATTAGTGATTTAAATATTATACTACAAATACAACCCTAAACACTTCAACTGTGCTACCACTACCTACCTTCAATTTCGTGAGTAACAAGACTTTTATTTGAATTCTCCTTACAAATGTCTTAGTTTAACTTGGCAGATGTGTTTCCAACAAAAAAAAAATCATTTACACTGGATTAAGGTTACAGTCAGCCTGTGAGCAAGAAAAAAGACTGCTTTTCGTATGTATTGCCCGCGTAAAAATTTAGTGATACTGTAAGGAGAAATCAAATATTGATCACTTAAGTTGCTGTGTACACCTAACAACCACTGCACTCAGGTGTTTAAAATCGACTACTATATATTACGAACAAGGAAGACGTGATTGTGACAACATGAATTTCAATAGGCTCGTCCAGCAAGACCACAGCTAATACTACTATTGACCAGTCGAAGGCACTTTTAGACTTGATTTATAGGCTCATTGTTACAGGGACTATTAATAGAGACTCTTTGAAGTGTGCTATCCAATACTATGTTAAAGATGCGTCAGCGGCTAATCACATGACTGCGCATGCACGACTTCCTGGTTGCACTTTAGGATCTGCTTTAATCTGGCCGCCATTTGCCGTAGTCCCATTTTGTTCCTTCAAAAACTGAAATTAAGAAAAAAACATCATCAAGGTTAAGAGTTTAAACCCTTTAACCTAAGAGTAAGGATTGGCACAGTTGATTAGTGCACCGCCCTCTGTGAGGTGACCTCAAATCGCTTCACCTTCTTTCCTATCCGTTCCGCGTTCGAAGATTTAAAAACCCCTAAAACGAAGCAGTGATGGAGAAAGGAGTGGGATAAGCACACTTTTGGCCTCACATTTGTTACTAAGACGATAACTATCGAGCCACCGACGTAACATAAGGACGCTTTACCCTTTTACTTTTCTTTCATTCCCCCCCCCCCTCCCCAAAAGCACCGTCAGTGACAAGCATGACTGTTCGCACGAAGCGAGGCCCTTCACGAGGTTTTGTCAAACACGTATTTCTAGTTTATTTTGAATTCCAATCAACTTACGGAAATGATCATTTCCCTCTTTTGAAAACTGAGACAGTCTACCAAACTGTGACAAATGAAATTAGCTTAACTAGCTGACCTATAAGCAAGTTTTTTTCCTTAAATCCCAGGGATTAACCCCCGCCATACGGCTCCCCCTCACCTGGGAAGTGAATGTTATCGACCTACTTTGTTAAGCACTTTCACTATGTATTTAAGCTGTAAAATATTCGGGAAGGACTCCCCATACCCTACTGGAAAGGATCTACTTTCTTCAAAAGCATGGTGACTTGCTCGTTTGAAAAAATATAGAGTTAAACTTTATACCCCATTATTATTGCAGATCAGTTGTATCTGAGCCGTCCCTAGTTTATAAGACCTCTCCCCTCCCCTGACAAGAAGTTAAAACTACTTGACACATAAGCTCGTGGACTTTGTATTTCAGCCGTTTTCAGCACAGGGCAGAAAGAACTTATGTTTGACCTTGACTCCACTTAAATAGCCCTAAGCCCATTTCCGAGTTGCCCCAAGCCTCTGTTATAAAGTGAAGTTAAGTGCGATGCCCTTGATGTGAAAATGATTTTTTTTACTCTGTTGCAAATAAAACTCATTTTCACGACAAAGTTTTGCACTTACCCTCGTTTTAAAAGTGAGTATTTTTGAACTCGGAAATGGCGTATCCAAAGTGCAAATAACTCCTCTGCAACTTGTTTCCTTAATAATTGTGGTGGGGTTTTAAAAGGCCCTTTCCCCTCCCTAGTCAGGTGATTTAATGTACTTACCCCCATAAGCATGTTGACTTTATACTTCAGCTTTCCCCCCTGATGAGCTGCTGCAGCGGAGATTGCGCGGTGAAATGCTTCAAATGACTGTTCTTCTTTCGGTTTCTTACCCCACTCTTCACATAATTCCTAGCCAACAGAAAGCGATATGTATATATTGAAATACAAACATGACTGATTTGGTTAGTCAAGAAAGCACTCTTAGTCTATCTTTCCTAGTTTTCACCATGGACCTGCCACTAACCCAACGCTTTCCAAGCAGCAGGGTTAACCGAGTTGGAAGACCGTTGGACTGCACAGGTTCCATACCTGGTACCACGCGAGGAAACACTCTATTTCGGGAATAATGTCAAACCACGCGCGAGCCGCAAGCGAAAGGGCAGTTCGTCCCGCCCCTAGCGGTTCACTCGCGCGCTTTTCTCGTGGATCACGTCACTTCCCACTCAAAAAGGAAAGCTTGATGGCTTGCTGCCAGGCTAGTCCCTGGGGCTCGACCAATACTCAGGGTCTTTTCAAGGAGTTGTTGCGAGTTAATGCTTTAAAACCCTTAAAAAGAGGTTGACATCAAAGAAAATCCCAAAATGGTGGTTCAGTTTTGTTTAAACGTACCCTTAACATTAAACTATTCTTGAGTGTTTCGGAATTTCGATAAACAGAAGGGAATTGGATTTCAACTATAACAAGAGTGGGCAAACTTTGAAAATAGAGATTTCGTTTCACTAATAATCAGGGCAACAAGCTGCCGTTGAAACCTCGCGTTTTTATCACTCATTGTTATTCCTGAATTACCCTGCGAGCAGAAGTTTCTCTCTTGCATAGCATATAACGTTTACAAAGTTGTTCGCGTGGCTTGTCCGTCGCGTAGTTGGTTGAATCACTACATAGACATGATAGTCTCAAGGCCCGCACGGCATGTATAAACAGTAGCCTAGAATAATACCACGATTTTTTTCCACAGTTTTCAGGCAGCTTAACTGAAGGCAGTTTTTTTAGCTTAACCAGTATTTTACCATGCTACAAGGCTCACCTGCAGACGTTTTTCTTTCTTTTCCAAACGAAGGTTCTTTCTCTTAAGCAAAATAAGCTCAGCCTTAAGTTGAGCAGTAGAGGTGTCAGTATTTATCATGGTGGTAGATCGTGGACCCATTCCTGGTCTACCGATTTGCATTTCCATCTGTCGTAATTCCTACAAAAGCAAACAAAATATAAAATAACCACGCTTACTTGAGTTTATGGAATAATTTCGCGATTGCATTGCTCATCTGCAGCACTACGGTTTTTGATTCGTTGAAAATCTCGTGCCACTTCCTTAACCAAACAGAAGAAAACCAAAACTAATCGCGGCTTGCGCGCAGTGTTTTCCCGCGCTTTGCCGCGGCTAATTCCCCCGCGGGATCTGATTGGTCTGTTTGATTGTCTGCTGGTATAAGTACAGCCTAGTATACTATCGTCTTGGTAAAATAAGTCCCAATCCGTACTGGAAGGATTGCACTTAGGACACCACAAGCAACTTTTATTTACTCGTGTAAGGGCACTTTCACAAATCAGTTTATTTTCATGTCGATCTGGGCGCGAATTTAAGACCCACAATCCAGCCAGCAAGACCTACAAACCTGAAAATGGTATTTTTGAAGATTTACTTTAGTTTTCATTTTTTTATATCTTATAATTTGAATGCGCATATAGATGGAGCAGAGCTTCCATTTTCGCTGGAAAAAAGTGACCTGAAATATGTAAAAAACAATAAATCGGTCCGTGAAAACGCTGTGACATAGGAGAAACATTGTTTTTGTTCTTGAAATTGGTAACGAGTGAAACTAAATAATCTTTGGTTACAGGAACCAATGCGCTTCTGGTTGGCAAATTTATGTCAATGGGTGACGTCAGCGTGAGTATAAGCTTAAGCCCCGGGCAAACAGGCGCAACATTGTTGGATGTTATATGATGCGTCCGTTTGCACACCCTGTTGCATGTTGTTTCGTGCTATTGGGAGTTGTTGCATTCGTTCGCACACCAGAGAGAGTCCCAGTACCTTAGTGGTCATTCTTGTACGGGTTGAGTCTGGGTCACTGTCTTCCTGACGACCAAACAACTGAAAGGCGATACAGCCACCGTCAAACCAATCCAGTAGCTCTTGTTTGACTTCTTCAAAGTGGAACACTTGAGAGTGATTGAACTCAGGCTCCAGGGTGGCCTTAACGACGCTTGTTGAAGTGAACTCAGTCTCCTTAAAAGGCATGTACTTGATGTACAGACCCTTGTTGAACCTAGCGTCATGAACGATAGCATTGCGAATGGTTACCTGCAACGATACATAACACAGTGAGGAAAAACACTGGACGACGGCTGAAGCTTTTCGATGGTAGTCGAGTCCCAGTAGGCCCGATTATCAGCCACCATTTGGGAAATGAGCTCGCCCTTCTCCTCCTCTCTTCTCGGGGAAGATCAAGACCAGACACAAAAAACGACGGAAATCGAGCCTAGCGACCTGACAAATATAACATAACACAACTTCCCAGGGCAGGATAGTCATAGATAGGGCAGCCGGTTGATGATCAGGCCAGTCACTGGCGCACTCCTGTTCGGTGTAGATTTGTTTCTGAGTCTCGACGTTCGTATTCAAATTGAGTTTGCTCTTAGTTTTTGGCCCTGGTCCGTAAGTTTTTCTTCAAGTTCTCCCGTGTTCTGCCCCAAACAGGAGCCGATGACTACTACTCATAGGCTACTGACCCCAACCTTTCCAGATTCCTATTAATTGACCACAGACTCCTGTGGTCAAATAGGAATGGTTCACTCCTGCACCACCTTATGGCAGGACGATTTGTCACGCTCACTTTAAATCTCTCATGGAGGAAATCCTGTGGTGTTACCATTCAAACGAAACCTCTTTCAACGAACTTTTTGCATAGTACAGCTTATTTCGTAGGATTTAACAGACATTTCCTTGTTCACGGACTGTTTACTTACCTAATTATTCAAAGTTAAAGAGTACTGCAAAAGCCATATACCTTGAAATGATAATCTTTGCCAAGAAGCTCAGAAGGATCATCGACAAAGAATTCCTCGTTCAGTGGCTTCTCATTTGCATAGCACGGACAAACATGAATGACGACTGTCGCTACCTCTTCTCCCTAAAAGAAAAAGAAAAGAGATCTTTTTTAAACAATTATCACATCAATCAAACAATGTATGTCTATGTACTTACAAGGTCGTTCATACTACGCATGTGTAAATAACCAGTCAACATCGAGGACTTCACCGGCGAAAAACGTCTGATTGGTTGACGCGAGACCACGTGACATTGCCAAATTCAAAATGGCGGCAATACCTCCATCGTTTGTTTATTCCAGTGGAAAGAAGATTAATTGCAGCTTAATATGGGTTGCAAATGCATATACGGATATTTTTAGAATAGCCTAGATAACATAATTTTTGATCTCTTACAGTGGTAAGAAATTTGCAACGCTGTCACTGCCAAAAAAAGCTGCCATCGCTACTTTCATCTGAACAACATTTCGCGGGCATTTTCGCCTCGGATCCAATTACATTACCTGAAATCGATCACGTGTCATTTTTAGTAGTGCATGCGCAGACATTTTTCGCCGGTGAACATCGGGGACTAGTTGTGTCGAATCCGGGTCAGCAGTAATTCTGGGTTAGCAGTAAACAAAGGATACTAGTTGTCATAGCAAACAGCCCAGGATTTTCGCTAACAGTCCGGCGTCTATGAAACAACTAGTTAAATATGGGTGCACCAAAAGGAAAACTAAAAAGAAAGGGTGTTTTCCATTAACCAAAACCTTTCAGAAACTTCGATGGACAACGCACGAAGAATGTGTTCCGTCTGACGCATTGACAAGCTCCATTCATTCCCCTCTCTCGCTAAAATTCGTGGTGAATAGCAAGGTAGTGGTGAATCACTGTGAAAACACGCAACTGAACACGAATTTTCACTAGAAATGTTTCCAACGAGAACACTAGACAACCTTTCAAAAGTTCCACTTATTCTCGGGAATTTTCAACTTGAACGATGTGTTTCATTTACATCCCAATTGGAATTCCCGAAATTTTTCGATAAATGGAAAGCGCTTGAAAGGTCTCTTTCGGTGACCAACCTAACGAAATCCACTGACTGAAATTCTGAACAAACCACTGTTAAAAGTCAAGAACGAAACGGAAAATACAACAGGACTCTTCTTGCCTACCTTGTAGTCAGTAATAGAGAGCTTGTCATCAAAATCTAGAGCAAAGCTTAGACTCTGTAAAAACACATTAGCTGTTCCAATAAGGACATCTTCAGGAGGTTCCCAAAACGGATCTTCTTCCTTAGGAAGTGAGCCCACATCTTCTTTTTCAAGGAATCGTTGATATAAATCCTAACAAAGGAAAAATGAAGTTATATAATCGCTTGCTCTAGACTTTGTTGGCCGTGCATGCTTATCCTAAAAAAAATCTTGATGAATCACTATTGATGGGTGCCGCTGCGACGCAGAAATGATAAAAGAGGGTCTGGGAAGGTATTCTCGGGAGTCCGGATTTGACCGACTTACCGTGCGGAATTTGGAAAGACCCAAAATTTCTTTACGGGATACGGGATTTGAACGCTTAGCTCCTCGCCTAAATCTTTAGGCGGGATGCGGTAATGGGAAACAAAACGGTAAACGGGATAGCAAAGACAGAAGTTCGGGACGCGGGATTGTCGTGTTCTTAATCTTACTGAATGCCAGCTGTTATGTTTCTACTTTCAGTTTGGCATGTCATCTCCAGTGGTGATTTTAATACCTGCATTAGAAAACGTCTGTTCATAAACTTTCCACGGTCCCACAGCCAAACATTTCCGTTAAGTAAACTCTTCATTTTCACCATCACTCTGAAAAACACAAATATGACCGAAATTGACAACTGACGCCTGTGTATACATTCTGGAAAATATTCACTGAGTTAGGTTCGAAACGCAGGCAGGGTAGCAAGTAGCAGCCAAGTAGTAAGCGTGTCAGACACGAAATACGGAGGTTCGGGGGTTCAACCCCGCAGTAATCACTAGCTGGAATTGTTTCTGTGTTCCACTCCTCAGTGACGCTTCAGTGTAACTAAAGATGTTTCATGTGGATTACTTCATTGTGATTATTAGTCTCGCTTGCGTAAGCAGCGAGACATATAATCTGCAACGCGTTTTTCGCCCCGGGGGGTAGTCCCTTATATAGGCTCTATGGGTAGGTGCCGCGCCAAAGGGTATGTTTTTTTTTTCAGCCGTTTTGGTCTGAAATAAGGTATCAATTTCGACCATTTTGGCCTGAAATAGGGTATGGTTTGTGCACTCTAGTCTTGAATTGGGTATGCTTTTTAGAAGAGTTAGCTACTTCTTCATCATTTGGCAATAAGACCATTTCCCTTTTAATGTTTACGCCAACAACCATGTACGTGCCGTAACAGCTTGTCACGCGCTCCGGTCACGCGCCGGGCTCCCGGGCTTCAGGTCTGGAATAGGGTATCAAATTTTTGATCAGGTCTGATATAGGGTAGGGAAAATCACAGCTTTTGGTTTGAAATAGGGTAAGGGTTTCTGGAAGCAAGCCGCACACCCCTACACAATTTTTCTAGAGGTACCCCCAGGAATTTTTGGTCGTATTTAGGACACGAAAGGGAGGTCATTGTGCCAGGCGTTCCTTGCGGAGACCGTGGAAACTGGGACTAAGAACCGTTTCGTGATCGAACCCACGCATGTTTTGCGAAGAAAGCTTAGGAAAGATTAAATTTAGAGCTTTTCCGAAACTTGTCGGTCCACGAATTCTATCGCGTGAAAGCGTTGATTACTTTGGAACAAGTGAACACTACTTAGTGGTCGAAAAAAAATAAGAATCTTAATTAGCAAAATTGCGATGGTCAGGTGTTGTAAACTTTCACTGTATGCAAATAGGTCTTGTGATGAGCATGCGATTTATTTTCGGCGATGATTGAAATGACGTACCATGTAAATCACTTTTTGGATATTTTGCAATGATGTAATTTCTCTGGAATCGAGACCCTTCCATTTTCGTGTAATTATACACGCGTTTAGCCTGCTACCGCAGAGGTGTTCTGGTCGTCGCTAACACGCATACTAAATCAATTCAGAAACAAATAAAAAGTATCGACGTCGATAAAGTAGGAAGTAAAAAACCTTTAGCGAGTAAATCATGTTTCTTGTAGAATTAATCGCCTCCTCATTCCTCGATCTAATTTTCAAGCAGGCGAGACTGATTCCTGGTGTAAGCGCGTTCTTGTTCAAGAAGATCTGGGTCTCCACAAAGCCCGGGGGGGTACTTCCTTATAAGGGCCTAGTGGGGACGTGCGGCCAGCCAGGGTATGTTTTTCGGGATTTTTGTCTTAAACAGGAGCCCATAACCCTGTTCTTAGACGATAAATAGCCTGCGCTTATGTTCTACGAATGTCTTAAACTGGGTATCAAAAATCGGAATTCTGTCTTAAACAGGGTAGGAAAATCAGCGACTTTTGTCTTAAACAGGGTCAGGGCATGAGGGGCCGAGCCGCACCTCCCCACCCAAGGATATATCGAGTACCCCCCCCCCCCCGGGCCACAAAAACCTTTCCCGGCTCCCCCTCCCGGCACGACATACATTTAAACATGGCCGATGTTTGGGGGGATAAATTCAAACAAAACACTGTATTTTTACATACCAACCCCCGCGTTGTTGTCTTTTTTTACTGGAATTTGAGCGGGTCTGGTTTTATTGTGGATGAAAGTTCTTTTTAAAACAGGGTCACCCCCCCCCCCCGGGTCACAAAGACCTTTCCCGGCTTCCGCTTCAGTGACGACATACAGTTAAACATGGTCGATGCTTGGGTGGATAAATTCACACAAATCACTGTATTTTGACATACCAAGCCTCGCGTTGTTGTCATTGTTTACTGGAATTTGAGCGGTTCTGGTATTATTGTGGATGCAAGATCCTTTTAAAGCAGGGTCAGCATTCTGTGACTTGTCGGTACACACTTACCGGGTACCCTTTAAATAACCTGTGAAATGATAAAGTGACCAACCAACCAACTTCGATTCATTGCTATCACTCGTTTTATTGCACACGCAATTCACGAGTAAAAATGCATTACCAAAAGTTCTACCGGCGGCGTTTGATGCCCCAATATTGCTTTAAATAGACTGAACAGCTGGTTGGAATGGACATTACACAGCTTTCTTTAAAATTGACAAATCCCTTATAAACACTTTATACCTTTAAAAGGGTGAACAACTTACTTTGTTCCCGCATTTCCTCCGTCACCCTGAGCAGCTGCTGAAATAAGAATCACCTCAAAGCTCCTGGAGAGAAAAAAGAAGATTTTGTTAGGAAAGACAGAAAATATTTCCCTACGAGGACATGAGCTTACAGGCTATGAAAGGTTACTCCAGTAACCATAAAAAGTAATAAAAGAAGAAGAGAAACTAGTAAATTCGTCGAAGAAAGCTGTTTGCTACGAGTTCACTTAATTCCAAACAAGCAAATTTAAATTATTTGATAGTTTGTTTCACTCTGTGTGCCTTGTTTTATTTAAGCGAAAAAAAACCGCAAGGTTGGCAAAGTCCTTGAAAAGGAAAGGTGCCATCGCGTACCGATCGAACGCGATCTCGATTGTAACTTACTAGCTTCTTGCAAATTTATTGCTTTTAATCTAATTACCTTTGAAATGAGTAATGTACTTTCTTAATAATAAATTATTGGGCTAAAAAAAAAAAAAAAGAAAAGAAGTTATAAAATTCGTCGGGAGAAAAAAAAAGGACGATAGTGGATATCAAACCCGGTACCCTCGGCTTCGAAGGCTAAGGGCTAACGCCTTGCGCTACGAGGACATTAGGGACCTTACGATCCGACAACGGCGACGTCCATGAAAACGTCCACGAAAAATAGACTTCGCATCATTTTAAACTTTTTCGTGATTATCCCAATTCGCCCTGTTACTTAAAAGAAGGGAATTATGGTTGGAGTTGAAGAGAGGGGACCGCGCCCGAATTCGGACAGAGATGGGAGAATTTATCGCTGTTCCCGTTCTCAAGTAAACTTAAATTTTGGTCATTTCACGTCGTAGTTGTGCAGGGACAGCAAAGAAATGTACAGAAAAGCGCGATGCACGTGTACAGTTGTTGTTCTGCTCATTAAACCCATTGCTTTTTTGACGTTCTCCTTGCCGTCGCCGTCGTAGTTTCGTAGGGTCCCTAATAGAAATGGACTTACGAACGGACAGACCAACACGGACGTTCTGGCTATAAAGCTAGAAAGCACAAAAAAAAACCCAGCATTCCTTAGCCCTGAATTCAATACCCTGAGGCCATAGAACTTTTAGCAGCCATAAAGCATAAAAACGTGCTCAACGTAAAAATCACGGGGCCAACTTCTCAACTTCCGTGTCAGCTTTAAAGCAACAATGAACTGGTTGGTAGGTAGCTTTGATTATAAGAGAACAAGTCAAACACTTACTTGTGTTTGTTGAGTTCCTCGCTGATGGCATTAACTTCACTGACCATGGGAAGCAATTCCAACACTTGCTCTTGGGCTCTTGCCTGATCTGTTTATAATAACAACAAAAAAACAATGATGGTGATGTCACACTTTGACTAGTACACCGACTTTTTTTTTGGATCGATACTTAGACTTGCCACGAGAACAGTACGACGAGACCTCACGAGTTTCACAGCAAAAAAGCTGTAAAGTGAGCGGAGCTTCTTAGGTACTCTTTCGAAAGTCGAGTCAATAATCAACAAGGCAGGTAGCACGGAGGTAACTGTTTGACTCTTTCGAAACGAGAACAAGTAATCTAGTAACTATTGTTTAGGTAGAAACTAACTGACATGCTTTCTAATCGTAAAATGATCACCAATTGGAAAATGTCATGTTTTTATGCCATTACCTTTTATGCTCAAGTCCACAACTTCTTTCAACTAATTCTTCAAGGAAATGTACAGAGATCAGTCTGGAGAATTTGTATGTGGATATACCGCCACAATTACAGAAACGGCTTTTTTCATGGTCTACCCATGGACTATTGTTACATTAATGGTCAAAGTTCCGCGTTGGGTAACCAACCTTTGGTAAGTCCAGAGCCAGTTCCGGTAGCAAAACCCTTAGCTTGGGCAATTTCTTTCTGAGCAAATTCCCAATCCACATTATCTGGGGTTCCTTCACTTTTCTCAGTGTTGCTTGGGTTAACAAGGATATACATGTGGTTAGAACCTGTGGAAAAACAAAAACAAAGAACACTGTTACCATTTCAGCGAACCTTCTTTACCAATTATATTCAATGTCTTCTTGGAGATCCTGATAGCCAACCAGCTGTTGGAAATGGCTCAAGGCCGCCATCGATGAAGAAACTGACTTGTGGTCGACTGCTCTGCAGCCGAAGGATGATGGCGATGATGGTTTGACAATAAGTGCTGCAACAATTTGCCGGAGCATGCGTCGTTCAGTCCATCATAGAGCATGCAACCCCCTTACATCCCTTACATAGCACTTAGGAAAAGCTTTTGCGCCGACACGCAAACCATTCTGGATAGGGCTTCTGTTCACACGTAAGAATCGCGCTGTGCCGTACCGAGCCGAGCCAATCTCTAAAGTCGAGAGTCACATATCAGATAGGTGTTCACACTATTCCGGACAGCTTTAGCGCCAACACGAAAACCATATGCGCATACCGAATAGCGCTCCCGTTCACACATATGAACGGTGACTTCGACGCAATTTCTGTAACCGCGGAGCGACGCTGTGCCGTACGTACCGAGCCGAACCGATCTCTAAAGTCGAGAGTCACACGTCAGATAGGTGTTCACCAAGAGCCACACTATATCGGATACTTCTTCTTGTCGGCACGAAAAGTTACCCGCTATACTGTGAACATAGCATTGGCCTATGCAACGGCGTTTATCACTTTATATTTTTCACGCGAAAATGGAAGCACCGCTTCGTAAATTTGCTCATATGTCGTATGATATGTGAAAAAAGGAGAAAAGAAAGCTATCAAAACATGAAATATACTATGTTCTGGCCTACGGTTCTGTTGACTGATTTGTAAGATTTATTTGATGGTCAAACTTCACGGGAAAATCTATCTAAAAATAAACTGGTCTGCGAAAACGCCGTTGACACAGGAGGCATTCTTTTTGTGCTCCTGAATGGACTCAGTTTGATTTTTTTGTCATTGATCTTTACTATTGAAATTAATTTTATGTCCTTTGTTTTAAACTCATTTTCATTCAAAGCGTACAATGTAAACTAATACTGAAGCAAAGGACCAAATTCAACCACAACACACCTATAAAGGTGTGTTCCTCTGTCTTGCGACTACATGCGTTTACAAACAAACGAAAAAATAAAATACAAGAAGTCCTCAATATATGAGCCGCTCAAATGTCTTTGAAGTTTAGTTGCAAGTTACGTGAATACTGATTTCTGATTGGTTAAAATTACGCTGGAGTCAAGCCATACACGGGATTTACGTCACCGTCGGCAAAACAAGCTTTACCTTGGGCAGGTAAAACGCACAAAAATAAACCGGTTTTGTGGCAAAAAGTAGAATTACTTTCTACTTTCTGCAACAACATTTCGCAACCTGTAAGAACCTAATTTGCTGCAAGACAGGTTTGATTCGTGGGTGGTAAAACGCGCGACCCCGCTATTCAACTCGTTTTGCAGCAATGTTGCAAAAATGGCTGCAAATTTTTGTTGCCGTTTACTCACCAAACAAAATCCTGTCGTAGTTTTTCAGAACACGTTCGCCAGTAAGTGGCATGCCATTCACTTTTGTCTTGGCTCCAGGCGATGCAGGCTCAATGGTTATTTCTCCATTACTTGACTTAATCAAAGCATGTTGTTTAAGAATGCTGTTTAAAAAAATAACACGGAACAGAAGAAAAATTTAAAACTTATGTTTTCAGCCTTTGTCCATCTTACACAAAAAAGCGTAGAGTTCTTCTCTACAACCTAAATGGGGACCACTGGGTACAAAGAAAGTTAGTTTCAAAGCTTGGCTCTCATTCAAAAGATTTGCGTCAGCGTGAGCTTCTAAAAAACGTTTACCAATTGCCGAAGATTTGTGTTCAGTAATGCGTTGATGTAGGCGTCGGGCTGTGTAGCCAAAATAATCTGCATCGCACAGATCACATGAAAGATAAAAAACAACGCCATGCCGACTAACATGTGATCTTATAAGCGATGCAAATTATGTTAGCTACACAGCCAGACACCTGCATCAACGCATTGTTTCAAGCCTCCAAGTATAAGCTCTCCGAGGCGCTCTGGTGGTGGGGCCAAAAAGGAGAGAGAACTCTCTCCTTCCTCTCTTCCTTCCCCCACCCCTGTATCCCCGGGAGCACGCATTGCTGAGCACAAATATTCGGCAATTGCTAAACATTTTTAGAAGCTCACTGTGACTTAAATCTTATTAATGAGAACCAAAACCAAACTTCGATCTAGGACGTCTAATGTTGGCCACTCACCTCAGGCCACTAAAAGGAATATCAGGAGCAGGATCAGCATCTTTTCTTCCTATCTTTGTTACCTCTAAAAACGTATAAACAACAAGCTCATCAGTCAGAATAACAACAGCAGGGTTCAATCTGGTTATAGAGAGTGCAAGGTGCAAGATCACAGGTTGTTGTGCGTACTGTGGCTTGGTGTTGGGAACTCGTGATTGGGTTGCAGTTTTGGGCAGGCCAGTTGGGCGTTCTAGTGCCTTGGGGTGTCATTCAGCGTGCAAAGAAAGTAGTGTCCGATAGCCCGGGGCTAGTGAATCCTATTCTAAACTTGCCTGATGGACAAGTGAAGTTTTTTGAGTAATACAAATAACCGAAGAACTGTGAAATCAATTCTGCTCATCAAAAAGTTTTGGGTACTACACCTGAAGCTAAAATGACGTTTGGGCTAGTAAATGCTAGCTTCAGCTTGCCCAAATGGTAAGGTGTGACAAAAGACTTGCATTGCCTTTGCAGCCCCATGGCCTCCTCAGGCACCTTAATCCCTTTTCTGACACAGGCGTTAAAAACTGACATTTTTCTGTTACATCTGTAGAATGCTAGTTTATTTGTTTCAGAGTTAATGGCATTAATGCTACCTTGTTCTAGAAAATGACAGATGACTCTTGAGAGCATAGGATCTTCATTCAAGTTGATCAAGTGGGGTATAGTTTGTTTTTTTCGCTGTTTCTCATCCGGTTTTCCAGAAGCAGCATCATCCTGCTGAGACTGTTTCACCTGTTAAGACATCAACAACAGAAAACTTTTGTTCACTTGATAGTCTCGATCTCTATATTTAGCATGCAAGTACTAACTGAGGACAGCAGAGGCGGATCCAGGATTTTTCTCTTGGGTGCACCAATAGGGAATGGCGTAACTGACAGGTGGCGTAAACAAATTTTAAAAGCGAATACAAAGAAGAAGGCTTATGACTAGGCAACAACATAATGTGAACTGCTGTGAAGTCCACAGGATACCCATGAATAAGACATGTGGCGATGATGCAAGCAGAACATCTGCTCTGACCAATGGAAGCCAAGGGCTCCAAACTTCAGCCTGAGGGCCAAACTACCATTTTTACGGCGTTTCACATAAATTCTGCAAACTCGTCTCATGTTTTACTTCACCACCAATAAACCACAAAGCTTTTTTTGTTTTTCCCGAATACCAGTTGTATTAGAAAACCACAGGTCATCTCAGGGGGTGGGAGAGGGGGTGGTATGCACACCCCCTGCACCCTCCCTCTAGATCTGCCCCTGGGACACTATTGTTACGTCTCCTTCTGGACACGGGACCACCATATAATGTGGTCATCCGAGCCACACAAAGGTCTTGCAGTTTGCAGGGCAGAGCAAGCACCTTCATTTCGCAGTTATTTCAAGACCCTGAATATTGGTCCCACCCCAGGAATCGAGCCCGCAACCACCGTCTCTGCAGTCAAGTGCTCTACCAACTGAGCTAATCCTGCCACAAAGCATTTACTTACACTATATGGGGTGTTCTTATCATTCATGACAAGTTAATTTTTTTAATATTGTCAAAATCGCAAAAAATTAGAAATTGCAAAAATGGTTAAGAATAAAGCAGAAATGAAAAGTCAAAGTAAGGAAACTGACCTTATCTTCCCAGCTCATCATGTTCTGATTATTTAGTTCCATATATGCAAGGAAATCCTCTCGTTTGCGCATTTCCTCTTTCTCTGCTTCAGCTGCAGCATAATAATAGCGTTTTAGAGACTCAACGCTATCAAGTTTCTTTCACGTTGAGAAAGTTCAACTCCTCAAATCAAGTTGGTTTATAATATATCTATGAGTAAATTAATACTGAAAAACATCTTCACAGGGCAGTCATCAACCTTTTAAAAGGACAAGCAAAAAAGTAGGTTCCAAGCTAAGAGGGCTAGCAAGGCACTGTAGAAGCACATTAATTTGCACAGTTTGTAATAAAAAATTGTGATACAGTATTTCCTGTAGAGGAGCAAGAACATTCATTTACATGTACTGACAACAAGGAACTGGCAAATTGCATTAAAAGCGACATGCACAGGTTAGTTAACTTTCAGGCCCTGTATATGTTTAAAAGGGGGATAGCACTTTTCACCAGATAAATCTCTATACAGAAGCAATTAGTTTTCCCAATATTTATCCAATGGACATTGATCTATCCACCTTCTGAACAACTGCACCTTCCCCCCCCCCACCCCCCACCAATGTTAGAAACAATTTATGTTGACAATATAATCAAGAATTAGAAATATGGCAAGTTCTGGCTATTTCGCTCATTTCTCCGGCAACTTCAAAAATTGGAAATAATCCTATATTGAAACTTGACAGAGATGGAAAATCTTGTTATTAATCCACCCAAACACTTATCAAATAGCCATGGAGATCAAACTGATTCATAACTATGTTTGCACTGCAAATTGATAAGCAAGTAATGTGATCTGGAAATAAGACTAAAAAACGGTAACTTTATGAACACATTAAATAAATGAAATCACACCTTTCATGTACATAAGATGTACAGGGGACTCTTAATAAGTTTGCTTTTGTCCACTACAAAACATCTTTTAAAACAATAAAAGAACAACTACTTGTGCCAATGCTGTCATATGAGATTAAGATCGGTTGACTGGGATAAATTAAAAAAAATAATAGATTTAGGATTATAACTACAGCCTAAGCTTTCTGTGTTTCAGTACATGAAAGCGGGGTAAATACTCACTTAATTCTCTGCCAGAAGTATCTGCAGGCATTCCACCACCTTCAATCATTTTCTTTAACCTTTCATTTTCCTCTCGCAACTCCCTGATAAGTTTGTCCATTGGATTTTCATTGACAACTGCTTTGTTCTTGATCTTCTTTGCACGATCAGCATATCTAATATCAAAAACACATTACGCGAGTTGGTCAATTGATTGATTGATTCCCTGTATGATTTAACATACAGGGAAAACAATTTTTTTTCTGTCACTTAATTACCATACAGTGCATACATCTGTAAAGCTTAGCAAGTGATGTGCTTAATTATTAATGTCAGACCATAAAAGCACTAAACAGTGAAAAAAAATAATTATTTTAACAACCAAGTTGATCTTGTTGTGGTTCATGGTGACAATAATAATGACAATGAGAATGACAGTGACAATGATCATAGTATGACAACAACAATAACACATGATAATGATGACAAAAAAATTATCAAAGAGTAATGTTATCAAAAAGCTATGTTTGTATCTAACTAAAGGGCTTTGAATGGCAGTTTTTGACTCCTCATATGCATTTCACTGATCTCTGGTTATATATCTCTGATTTTTCACGTTAGTATGAGCACAAACATAGAGTGACTTAAGTAAAAACTTGTTACCTGAAGTCATTCTTGCTTTCTGCATACATGTGGTTTTCAAAAATAATAACTCGCTTAACCTAAAATACCAGTATTTATCTTACAAACAAAAGTGTTTTAGTGGAAGACGAGCCACTCATGGAAGTCATATAAATTTACATCCAGGTCCTGATTGGAGCAGACACTTTATCAAAGCTATCAAATGCCGGTTGAAAAATAGAGGGAGATTCAAATGTTTAGCAAAGCTAAACATAAATATGATAGACATATTTGTTAATAAAAATTATCACAAATATGAGGGAAAATAAAATAGCTAGCTTGAAGACGCATAAAATTTATTTTCCTCTGGTAAAAACAATGACAAATTAATTTGTAAATTTAATATTATTCAGATCTGTCTGCTGCCGTGTAGTATCCTCTCCATACATGAAGCAGAGACTATAGTCATAACAAAAGCATTTTCATGATAATGTGAACGCCACTATAAATGTTGTCTTAAAGTTTGTGATGAACGAAATAATGAATAATTTGCTAAGCTTTACAACGGAAGCTTAAGCTATGCACCCTGCCAGCAAAGCCTTTATTTCACTTGCTTTGATTTGGGCGTATTGGAGAAAGACACTGCATGAATTGAGCAAGATCTCTATTGAACATGCCCTGCATGTTGCAAGGATACAGTTAAATCCAGGTCTAATACCTGGCACTTGGTACAGAGGGCTCAGTTATGGCTAGAGCTGTCATTAAGGGCCATAACCTGTAACATCTGTTTTGCCTGAGCACACTTGATGTTACAGGTGATCAAAATGGAAAGCTAAAGGTGGCACTATGAATGTTTGTAAGATGTTACGGGTGAATCTTTGGTTGCTATGGCTCCCTGAAATTTAAAGACAGCTCTGATGGCCACTGGTTTTTCAATAAATGGATGTTTGCACAAACCAGTTTGACAAGAAAAATGAACAGGATTGACTAGTCAAGCAATTAGGGTTGTGGTGACTTCAATTAATGCTAAATGCGATTTGGCAGAGGCTCTTTTTCTCCTCCTTGATCAAGAAATAACAAAAGGAGGCTCTGCACACAGGGTGAAGCTGTGAAGTTCAAATACAGTAAGCTCCTCCTTTATTACCTCAAAGTGCTTAGTGTTTCATCATAGTTGATATCAGCAGGAGACAAAGCAGCTATCATGATGGTTTTACTGTTGCCACCCAAAGCATTCTGAAGCAGTTTGGTGAGAACAGAATCACGATATGGCACCAACACTTTCTTCTTTCCCATGGACAAATCAGCCAGGGCTGAGATAACATTACCCAGTGCTGAAAGAGACTTGTTGATGTTAGCTCCTTCCTTGAGTCTGTCTCCTGTGGCTCCAGTGCTGTCTGCTCTTTCACTGCCTGATAGGAAAAATAAAATCATAAATTTACCATACAAATACAGTCAAACCCCGCTTTATGGACACCTGCTTAATTTTGACACCTAATTATTATGGATAGTTGGCTTTCTGCCTGGGGAAAGAAAACCCTTATGATTTCTCTTATCTCAACCTGATTAATACGGACACTTTTTTGGCCCCCTAAATGTTCATATTAATGGGGTTCGATTGTACCATGCTTTCTTCAGGATTTAAAATCATTTTAAAAGTGACTTTAACGGACTCTTTCAAGACACAGGTAGATTTTCTAGGACTTTAAAAAGCCATTTTTATATAAAGGATTTCATCAGTGGTTAGAATCTTCAATCCAAATTTTGTCACTTAATACACCCGATAACACATAATTTTCAATGGAGAACCTACAATAATTTCCCAAAAAATAGCAGAATAAAACATCATCAATACTTTCTGGGATGTTCAGAAACCCATAATTCCTGGCTTTTTAAACACAATAATCTATAATAAACATCCCTGGAAATATCTATGCTAACCAATTAAACACCAAAAACAACAACAACAAAAATAACAACAGGAGTATTTCATGAGACAGAAAAAAGTTGTTTGACACAAACCTGCCAGATCTACTAAATTTATGTTACTGCTCTTTTTGGTTTCTTGGCCAGTCTGGTTTTTGCTAATCTGATCAAAGACAATTGTGACAACAGTGTGAGCTCTGGAGCTTGTTGCATTCATCTGCGTTGCAGCCACTGTACGATTAGCAGTACCTGTTGGATGGAAAAAGTCTTTTATTATATGGCTAAATCCGTGAGAGGGTAAGATTAAGCGAATCCTGTACTTTGACTGGCTACCCAAGCAGCTAAGATGGGCACATCTTGCCCCCACTTGGGATTTATTCCTGCATTGTTCCCCCGAGAAAAAGTTTTCTTTTTGGCCATACAATAAATCCCTTATTGAAGAAGCTTGTCTGCTCAAGATGGCTGTATAGTAGCCTTGTTCTTTTTGCATTTTTATTGACCTAGACAATAAAAATGTAAATAAGAACTTTGCCATTATCCAGCCATCTTGCTCAATATTCTTGGTCAATAATGCACATGACAGAGTAGTCCTAAGGCTTGCTACATGGGTGGAGGTAGACAGGGAAGGTCAACAGAAATTGTATGAGAGAGAAGGAAGAACAAAATGTTTTCAGGAAATACAAACTTGTGTAAACGTAAATTTCCCAGTGAGTTTCAAATATGGTGTAAGTCACAGGGGAATTATAGTCAGATTAGTTTTGGATAATTGAGTTCTTTTCAGGGCTCTAAATTCAGACCCTATTTTGAAAAAAAAAAATGCAATCAAATTTAGATGGAATCTAATTCCAGACATGGGTCAATTTTTCAATACCTTATTCATCACGATGTCTATTTCACCATTCATTAAGTGAAGCTTTTGTGCAAAAATAATACTAAGCCTGGCATGTTCTAGTTTAGGAGCCCTAAAATCATGACCCAATTGGGAAGCATACTTGTACCTGAAGCAATGTTTGATTTTGGTATTTATGCTTATGTAGAAATAAATAACCTTTATGTGAACTGGCACTGAATTTTTTAGATCCTACCTTCTTCTATCCTTCGTTCAATGTCTGCATAATCAACTACAGCCACTCTCTTCAAGTTCTGTACAAAGAAGGAACCTTCCTTTGGATTCTGACGTACCTGTGACATTAAAAGCAAAGTAAGCAAGTGATAGCAAGTAGTAACTCTCTACCGTGGCCACTTATCTCTGTACCAGTGGTGGCTATGAAGAGAGGTTTAATTGTATACATGTATTATAAGATACCTTAAAATTCCAAAAATAAGTCCTTCCATGTATAAGCCCCCCCAAACTCGTAACGCAAAAAACCCTTCGTTAAATTGCCCCTCCAAAAAAGCCCTCCGGGGAGCTTGTACTTGGAATTGCCCTCAAATACAAAGTAAAACAAAGCAAAAACGGTAAATTTCCTTCCAACTATAAGGCTAGCCCAATCGCTTTTGAAACGCACATTTCCCTCCGTAGATAAGCTCCTGCACATATAAGCCCCTCCAAAAATAAGCCTCTCAAAAAGGGCCTTTGAAAAATATAAGCCCCAGGGCTTATTTTCAGAATTTTATGGTAAGAGCAGTTAGCTCAATTGAATAAGTGCTGGTCTGGCAAGCGGGAGACTGCTGGTTCAAGCCTCAGCTGGACCAACACTCAGGGTCTTGAAATAACTGAGGATAAAGTGCAAATGGTTAGACTTTCTAGTTTTCTTGGATAAACAAAGTAAATTGTAGGCCCTGTCTCACAACCCTTGCACATATAAATTATGTGGGACATTAAAGAACCCCTGACAGTTCATAACGAGTAGAGGATGTAGTCCCCAGTGTTGTGGTCTATCTCTCATTGGAGGAGGGACTATTATAAGCCTGTAGTAATTGGTGCCACACACTATTGTGGTGACCCTGCAATGAATTGGAAAACCTAAGTAAATAAATTTAGCTCAATGTTTATGAAGATGTGTGTGCAATATTAACTGTTTAAAAATCAACAATTTTTTTTTTACCTGCAGACCTCCTTTGGGGTTATTCTTCACAAGCAAGTCACGCACTTGTTCATTATAAATTTCTAACATACTAAATGAAACTTGGTATTTCTGTACAAAATGGAAAAAAAAAACACAATTACTTCTGTGAATCAGAAAAACAACAACCATTTGTCTGAACTGATTACACTAATTATTGTCAATCTCTTTTTTGATTTGGAACAGTGTCTTAATAAATTAAGACTTGAACAGGGTTAACACAGAATTTTTAACTAGATAGCCAAGTGTTTTTCTCAAAATTAAACTCCTCTGTTCGCTGCCTGGCCTTTGACCACTAACAAAGCCAAAAAAGATGCATAAGTGGGTGACCATGTTAGAGAGTAGCTGACTTCTTTTGACCACCCTTCATGGTATGCCTCCATCTTGGCACCACCCACTGGGTGGAAACAAAGAGTGTTTCAGCAGAGCTCTAGGCACCTAGAGCCCTCTTGGTAAGAAACTCTGGTAATAATACATTTTGGTTACATGCAACTGAGCAATCCTTATTTAATAATCCCTCTAGGAATGAGACGTCTGTGGCACACAGTCAAATCAAAGTATCATTCATACAAATTCTTCATAACCAGGTAGTGTTCTAACTAAATTTAGAAGATGCGACAATGTTGCCAGTATCCAGTCACAAACTCATTCAAGGCAGCAGCAGCTGTTGATTTGCCTAGAGAGCATAACATCACCTGGCCTTATTTGTATAAAGGTGGATAGTGTGCTACATACATATGGAGGGAAGGGGAAGTTAGAACTTTGCCCAAAGAAAAAGCCAATTTCAGAAAGTTTCCGAAATTTATAGCATTTTGATGAACTTTACTTAACATTTTATTCTTTCAAGCACTTACAGTCTCTCCATCTCCAGCAGCCATAGCTTTAAACAACTCATCACAGGTAATAGGAACAATGCCCCTGATGAGAAAAGATAAAATATTATTTTATTATCTCTTTGCTTATGACCCAACTGGTTTACAAGAAACATTTTCCTTCTTGAAGTACATACAGTACCCAGGAAAATGCTGTTAAGTTATACCAAGATCTTATTTCTTCATAAGTAAAAATTTACCTCAAAAGGGCTTTTGTATTGAATTGGATCAACCCCTGTAACCCTATGCCTAACTTTCTGTTATTACTGACTTACAAGGGTTGATCCAATCTAGGTTTTGTTGATGCTTGTTTTGAAGAAGGAAAGGATATAAAATATGGGAGTTACAATAAGCTGAACTGAAGCCAAAGCTGACAACAATTTTACTTAATAGCACATTTACACGTCTACCGCTCATAACCACCTATATGAAATCCCATCCCTTGTTGATTGCTGGTGGAATTATCAATTTTAACAGCCATAGACAACTTTAACACTTCATTTACGCAAGCAAAGAGATCTTATTGTTGCAAATAGAATCAGTTCTTGCGTTAAACCAGGATTTCCTTTGTCTCCTATGAATAATTAGAAATAGCAAACAAAGGAAAATGTAAATCCAAATCCTGGTTTTTACTCAAAGCATCTTTCAAACCATATCCAAACAGGCTGGAGCAGGGAAAATGCAAAGAATCATGTAACTTTCACCTGAAAACAAAATAAAATCTTGTTCCACTACCCACCTCTACTTCAAGCACAGTACTCAAGTTATAAAAAAACATGTTGGGTGGTTTTGCTATTTTCATGTCAAACTGTCCAAACTATGGTTTAACATGCTTCAAACAGAGTTTTTTGCCACAATTTCAAGGGTGGATGGGTTAAGTAATGGGAACTCTTTAATAAAGTTGGATATTTAGGTAAAATTATAAAATTAATGATTCGACTCTATCAGGATAATTTACTAACTTGTTGTTTCCATATCCAACCATAGAATATGATTTTCCAGCACCCGTCTGTCCGTAGGCAAATAAGGAGCAGTTAAAACCTATAATAAAATAACAAAGCAAGTCAAGATCATATCTGAACCTTTTCCTTTCACTGTCCCTTTTAAAAACAACAGCTACATGAAATCAACCCCTCCCACCCCAAGTGAAATTTGCAGCAAACTGAGCCACTTCCTCAATTAAACAACAAAGCAGTGGTGCTGCATCAGTAGAGAAGTCAAACACAAAGAGTTTGGTTTCATTAACTGAGTTGAACTGTAGGCAGTCACCTCAAGTGCACATTTCAGGCAGATTTAGCAAAAACAAGTTGCTATGTTTAATAAGAAGGCAAAAGTGTATTCCACTGTTTGAACTGCTATACACAACTGGCACAGAAGATATGTGCTGCTGTTACTGTCATATCATATTGTCTATATCTGCCTGTTTGCTTTGACAAAGGTCAAAGGGGGGTCAAAGGGATCAACAGGTCAGCTTTTGCATTTCCCATATACAGTGGAACCTCGCTTTGTGGACACTCACTTAATACAGACACCCACATATAACAGATAGTTTTGTTTGTCCTGACAAAAAAGTTCATACATTTTCTCTAACATTAACCTGCTTAATACGGACACCAGACACTTTTCTGCAACGCGAGAAACAAATTCTCACATTAACCTTGCTTTACAGACATTGTTTATCAATACACTCTCTATGACTGAATATCTTACCAGTTAAAACTTAACAGTAACAGTGAATGACCTGTCAAAGGTTCTGTCTAATGTCATGCACCATGGCAGGGTGGCAGACTAAAAATGTCAGTGCAAAGTTAAGTCAAGGATTCCATTGTTGCATTTCAAGACAAATACTTGGAAGATAGAAATTCTCGTCCGAGACTATGACAAATGATCGTGAAGTTCTTTATGATGAACTTGTTACGGTTACTTTTAACAAATTAAACAATGTTTACCAACAAAAATGTCTGCTTAAGTCTTACTTAAGATCAATAAAAAATGTGTCTGCGATGTTTTTTCTGAGAGCCCGCTTAAAACAGACACATGGATAATATGGACACCAGGGCAATTAATCGCCTTGATGTCTGTATTAACCAGGTTCCACTGTACTTGTTCAATTCAGTATGTAAAACTGGATTTTTTTCCTATTTATTCAGACAATCCCAAGATTAAGGAGTTTAGATAAATTTAGGGGTTAATTTCTTTGTCCAGTGGCAATACATCATTCAAAGTCACCAATATCTGGAGATCAATGACAACCTACTCAAAAAGACCAGGGGCCCATTTCTCGAAAGGCCTGGAAACTTTTCAGGCCCGAAGGCAGATTTAAAATTAAAACTTGTTGAATAGTAGCACAGTGCCTAGCTCAAAAACCAGTCAATTTTGCTTCGTTAACTGATAGTTTTAATTTATGATTGTCAAAATTATTGAACCTTTGATCTTGAATGTAAATACAGCAAGCACAAAATAGCGTTCTGGGCCCGGAAAGCTACCAGGATTTTCAAGAAACAGACGCCCTGCCTCAGTTATTAAAAGGTGGACGACACTATCTGGTAAATAAATCTCTAGCCAGCGAAAAATGCAATTGTTTGTCCTACTACTTATCCACTGGATAGTGATTTATTATCCAGCATTTAACTAACCAGGGCCTAGTTGGCCTAGTTGTAAGAAGGCTGATAAGTGCCGATTATTTTGTTATATATAACAATATTTATTATATAAATATTAAAGCATTCTCTCAGATAATTGTCCCTATTCTTTTAGTGCATCCAATCATCAAATGGTAGACACCAAAAGAATTAAACTGAATTTGCTTTTTAGGCTTTCATATCTGAATTCAAATCTGGGTATGGTAAACCACCTTTGAAAAACTCAGTCCAGGAGACTAGCTCAATATTCGAACGGTTAAGTATTTAACGATCAAAAGATGATTACATTAAATATACTAATAAGGTTAACAGAAATGAAGACCTGGCACTAAAGCTTATCTGGGAACTAAGAGGAAGAAAAGTTGCAGTTTAATCTTTGTTTCGCTTTTATTATTCATACTTGGTCTTCAATATAAAAGTTAAATTATTACATATTCACTTCAAAAATGATGAGGATTTCGCGCTTGGATCATTGCAATTAATCTAAGCTTTTCTAAGCTTACGTTAATCTGAAGTAAGGTTAAGTTTAACAGCCATGAAAACAATGAGATAGAAGAGGAGTAGCTAAAGTCATTATATTACCGAACGCACATTGCTGCTAAATGCATATATTAAAAATACCGGTAGCTCTTCAGAAGTAAACAGATAGGTGACAGACGATATTTAACAAGATTTGCCTGATGGCAGTTACCTTCGAAAGCATTCTTCAAAACACCAGCGCCGAGATCGTCAAATACTTTGCGTTGATCTGCGTATTTCGCGTTTGAAGGTCGAAGATAACCGGCCTCGTCTTCTTTAAAACCATCATGGGACCTGGGTTTATTAAAACGGCGGGAGTAATATACCTTTTATATTCGTTACTACAAACAGATAAGGCTCTCAAATGAATACAAAAGTTTGCTTAAGGGAGTCCTTGTATTCAGCAATTTAATAAAAGGTGAACTCCTGTGACTATTAATGTACAATTCGTGCTCAACTCCCAAAAACAAATCGTTAGCACTTACCAATACGAAAAGTCGAAAGTAAACTGCACCATGACCCATCATGAAAAGAAAGAAAAAAAATTAGAGTTAAGCTTAGTGTTGCGCAATTAAAGGGAAATTTACAGAAACTGTAAGCTTAAACTTGCAAGCCCAAAGTATTCACCGGTAGCAAGTTGATGTCAGAATGACGAAACAAAAACATGATGGCAAGTCTTATATTCTCACCTCTTTTGGCGGATTTCCTGTGAGAAAAATGAAAGAGAAAAAAATTGAAACAGTTAATTGAAGAAAAGTAAAAGCGACTTGGAAAATTCTCCGCAGACAGCTCATGGAAGGTAAACATTCCTACAGCGCGAAGACGACAAATTACGTTGTTAACCTACCTGGATTGTCGGGGTCGGTGATCTGTGTTAGAGCCCCAATCATCTCAAGAACGAGCTTCGCTCCTCGATCCTTCTCTCTGCGAAAACAAAAGCATTGCAGTTACAAAATAAGACGATAAAATGAATATACCAAGCTTTCTCTAGGCTTACCTCGAGTTGAAGGGACGAACTCGGACAGCCACTTTGACCCTACAAAGATTATCAAAGCGCGATTAGTTATGTCCTCGTTTGTATCAAAGAGTTTATAAAGTCACCAGAATGTTCACTTACGATTCCGCCATGGCTGGCTTGTGGGAGGTTTAACCAATTTACTTGTCCTGAAACCCTAGTTATGTTATCCCTTGAGTTTACGAAGTAACTTTTTGATGCTTGTCTAGCTGCTGGCCAGCCTCTTGCCAAACGCGAGATGTGACTTGTGCGAGGAAGACGGGGGATGATTGTGTCGTCTTAGTACCCTCTGGGAGGGGAGGGTAAGGTTTACATTGAAGGATAAAACGCAGCAGAAAATAGGGTAAATTTTTTAACAATAAAAAGAGTTTTAGGAGTATTTTATTTTATTAAGGGATATTTGGAAGACTTTTTATTCGTTTTTGTACAAATTGTAGCACCCTAAAAACGTAAAACGTAAAACACCTGCACAAGAGTGTATCAATTTTAATCAAGAAAATTTTTTCTCTTCCCAGTTCTACTGTTCACATAATAAAACGACAGGAAACAGCGACTTGTGAAGCGAGGTTTACCTTTAAAAATCGCCACCTAGTTTCCGACATTCCAGTCTGGTGTTTTCTTTTACAACGAAAATAACATTCAACTTATTTCAGGATTATTTTTTTAATTAAAACTCATTGTTTTAACAATCGTTTGTTCGATTCTGTAAGACTGACATTCATAAACATGAGAAGCGTAAATTCAAATAAATAGCTCTAATTTTATCCACTAAATTGACGTGGTTACAAAAACAACTTATTCATATTTGCTATTTTGAGGGAAAAATTAACTACTTCTGTCATAGCTGAGAGCGTAATTATTTTTCTTCTCGTTATATCCGTTTCATTCATAACTGGAACAGTCGGTATCCATAATGAGGTAAATGCTACACAAATGTCGAAAACCTTCTACAGTTATAAAATAAAGCTGGCCGTTTATTTTAATCGATAGTTGACGACAGGTAAAGCCCTATCGAGACAAACAAACCGCTCCCCCCCCTGAGCCTATTGGACATCCTCTGTAGCCATGACAATGCTCTTGTATTGGACCATAACAGTACTTTGGGGTTCACAAGAACAATTAAAATTCAAGATCGTGGGTGGAATACCTTTGTTGTCTAGTTACTCTGAAAGAAATAATTGCTTTGACACGCTGATTTCAAAGCCAACTAAACAGACTCTAAATAATATTCAGGCAATAAAACTTCCCTAATTAGAACCGCCTGAGCATTTCTGCAATTCTTTTTAACAACTCTTCAGTTAAATTGATTGAGACAACTGTTACATGTAAACCCAACAAAACTTTTATCGAATACGCAAGAATTTGTTGTTTTACGTCAATAAAGACTTTCTCCTCCAGTGCTTTTGAATCACACCGAAATCACTTTTGACGTCTTATCTCCCTAGACAAGATAACATACTAATTGTTTTTTTCTTCCGAGTGCCTAAAATATTATTGTAAATAATCATCAGTCCTTGATGAGTTTCCTTCGAGATGCACTTATATCACTTAGCTTCGGTTCATAAACGCGATATATTTACATGCAAATTATGAAGCGACTAAACTGTGAATAAATGCATTTTAGGTAACGCCTCAACTTCCAAAAATTAACAATAGTTCTAAATTTGCTAGTGCTGTTATCATCCAATGCTTTAGCTTCTAAAAGGCAGTGAACTAATATCGTAACACACACAAAACACAATATTCCTAAAAGATAAAGCCATGCGAATTCAAGTTTCATGTTGAATATTGATTAAAATTGCACAATGTTCTTTATATTTCATCAAATGTATGAGAAATTCTGAAGTGGCTTGGAGATTTAGTTTATAGTACAGTTTGTAACGCCTAATTAGTAATAATCGATAAGACACGTAATGTTCATCCACCATAAAGTATCCAATTTTTTCGCATGATTTGTTATACACGTTAGTTCCCAGATTCGTGGCATTTGATAAAGGCTGGGTTGATTGTAGCCCAAGCCTTTTAGGATTTTTTCCCTTTGACAACGTCCGTCTCTTAGACTACAGCGAAAGCAAACAAAATAAACGCAACATAAAAATTACTATTTATAACATCGCAAACTAATAAAAAAAGCAAACTTTGTACAAAAATGGAAGACTGTTCGTTCTGAAATATAAAAGAGAGAATGAAACTCGCAGACCTTGGTTAATAGTATGAATATTCGCTGCTAATATTTAATACCAATCTTACTATTATTGCAATAGTTGTGTCAATAAAAAACGCTTCAATCTGATTGGTTCTTAACAGCCCATGCTATTGTAACTCCGAAACTGTCCGATTTAATACCAGGAGCTTGTTCGGACGGCTGTTCGGACAGTTAAAGAACCAATGAAAATCAAGCAGCAAATGCTACTAGCCAATGAAATTTAACTACATAGCACATGATAACCAATCAAAATCAATGAAAAAATAGTGACAAGGTAAGCTGTCCAGTTTCAACTGAAAAAAAAAAAGGATAAAACCAGGACAAAACTAACTGGTCCAGTGACTTTTGTTTACATTAATAAATGTTCCAAGACTGAGATTCTCGCATTTTGCTATTGACACAATTAACTGGTAATAGGACTTCAAGTGGTACAATACAAGAGTAATCGGGCTCGCAATTTCAAATCGCCCTCGCACTACACGCTCGGCTGATTTGAAATTACTCGCCCGTTTACTCCCTGAATTACACTCCACTCAGTCCTATTACCACTCCTAACCAATATATTTATGACCATCAAAAAGCTTAAAATTCACTGTGGAGCTTGCTGCTTTTGGCCAAAATTTAAGAAGTTTGAAGCTACTGAAACGTACCGTTTTCTGATCACTATCTATATAGCTAGGTATAACGAGGTGAAACTACAAAAAGTTTGCTTTATTCCCGACGGAATAAACTGAAAAGGAAAGATTTCTTTCCTCTCCTTTTTTGGATTTTCTTCCTCATATGTTTGTTTGTCAGTCTGTTTGTACGTTCTCTTGCTTATTTGTACGGTTTGTTTGATCATAGTTGTCTGAGGAGACTGGTTATGAAAGACGACAAACATCAAGTATAAAAATAACAGTGCTACAGTTTATGTTGGAGGCTCCCTGATGGTGCACAATCCTTTGTTTTCTGTTGGCAAATTGCGACGGAATAAATAAATGCAACGTTTTTATTGGTCAGTAAGATAGATAGATAGATAGATAGATGGATAGAAACTTTATTTATGTGTCAAGAAAGAAAAACTAGCCGAGGGGCAGGCCCTCTACTAATAGGGGACACCTACAGTTAAAATATAATAGATACAACAATTACGTAGATAAAAAAAATCCATACAGTATGTTACAAATTGTTAGCTAAAATACTAAAGCTGAGTGCTAAAATGCTAAAATTATTTCCGATGAGACATTAACTATCACACAGAAGACATCCTTTGCATCCATCATCAATAAGAGATGTCAGATCCTTATTACGCATTCGGTTTCTAAAATCACTTAATGATTTACACGTTTTATCACTTTTGTCCAGCTTACTCCATAAAATGGGACCTAAATATCGAAGGGAATGCTTACCAAATGAAACTGTGTTAAACCTGGGTAAAAGAAAGTCTGAATTTCTTAAACTGTAGCATGAATCACGAGGTTTAAAAAGGCTTCGGAACACATTTTAGTGTGTTTAACCTTGAACACTAGGACGCATATGTCTTGAAGACGTCTATTCAACAGTGTTGGCAAGCTAGCCCTATTCAATAACTGATGATAACTGGACTTAGTGTCCTTATACACAGCCCTAAGTCCTCGTTCCTGGATCAAAATCATGGGAATGATGGGAATGCTATTGAACATTGTGCACCGTCAGGTCCACAAAAACATATAACGAAGGAGTCTGACGGGTTTCATAACCATTCCAATCCATTAACTATAGTTTGATTTGTTTTCTGCCGGGGTTCTCTGAGCTTTACAGAACAAAATTTCGCTTAAAGGTACGGAAAAACGGGCAACAAAAACATGCCACTTGTTTTACAACATTGCTGTAAAACGAGTTGAAAAAGCGATGCATGTTGCGATGGTACCACCCACGAATCAAACTGGTCTTGCACTTAAAACTCGTAAAAACTCCGCTCGCTTAAAATCGTGAGGTCGACTTGTGGCAAGTCTATAGTTGCAGGTTGCGAAAAGTTGTTGCACAAACAAAAGAGACGTTTTCTACTTTTTGCAACAAAATCTGTACATGTTTCGCGTTTTACCGTCCAAGGAAAACTTGTTTGGCAGCAACTGACTAAGGTCCAGTTCAGACGCCAAACTTTTCATGAGCTGAACCTAATACATTGAATTAAACACAAGAAAAGTTCAATTAATCAATCAATCAATTGGGAACGCCTGTTTCAATTTGGAACGGCTCAGCCGTTCTTTTCGCCTGGCCCAGCCGGGAATTTCGCCTTTGGAGCGACTTTGAAACGGCTTTGATTCAGACACCAAACTTTTCATGTACCGAACCCAATGCATAAATTATTATAAAGTATTTTGTAAGTAGTTTGACCGAAATCAGCATTTTTCTCCTTTTGAATTTATTTCGGCTGGAATTAAGATCGGCGTCTGAATCAATTCAGCTGTTCTAAATAATTTGGGTCGGCCTTAATTCGAACTTGGTTCGGCTCATCAAAAGTTCGGTGTTTGATTTGGGCTTGGCCCGTGTATGGCGTCACTCTCGCGTAATGTTGTCCAATCAGAAGTCAGTATTCACGCAACTTGCGACAAACTGATTTGTTGCAAGACAGGTTGGAACGTGCGTGGTAAGATGCGCCACATCGCGTTTAACGCCTTCTGTAGTAATGTTCCAGAACAAGTTGCCCGTTTTGTTACCCGTTTTTCCTTAGCTTAAGGGTCAAAAAGGAACGACAGGTGCAACCTCGTTCCCAGGGTTCTCTACTACTCGTCCCTTCGGAGCGAGTGGGAGAGAACCCTGGAAACGAGGTTGTGACAGTTGGCAAGTGAGTTGCATGATATTTTTCGTGCTTCCCCACCTTGTCTGCCGAATCGAGAACATTCGGTCTTGGTTTCTAAAGACTAGCCATATCGCACAAGTTGACACTTTGTTGTTTTATGCAGAAAAGTGGATTTTCTACAAAAAAACTCGGTACTTTGCTTAAAGGCCACTAAATGCGTCTCAGATGCTCATAAGGGAAAGTTCAAAATTTTAAGGCGGGGAAGGTTCTGAAATTAGTACAGTGCTACTTAAAGTAACCCCCCCCTTCCCCACCACCACCTTCACACTGGCCCCCTACTAGCGTATTTCCATCCGGCGTTATGTAAAGAAAGAAAGAGGAAAAAAAATTCCATACTAATGGCGTGTCCGCCCAGATCTGGGCAGTATTTCAAATCGCTCGTACCACGAGGGAACCAATCAGAGGCACTACCCAGATCTGGGTAGACATCAGATCGCGATCTAAAAAGTCAAGTTGTGTGCGCAATGAACTAAGCCACCTGATCGACGTATACATAACCGGACTGAGAACCAAAAAGCCCGGGAGAAATGTTTCTCATAATGAATTGTATGGCCGGGATAATCCACACAAAAGGTGTACTTTTTTCAAGGTACAGATGTGTGGAAAGGGATGAAAATACAATTAAAGGAGTTTAACACGCAATTAGTGGGTAAAACTTTCCAATAGGTATATGAAAGTTACCGATTTCTTGCGCGAAGTGTATTATTAATTCAAAGGGTTTAGATGTGCCGTTTTGGACAAAGGTGGTGATATAAAAGGGTTAGGGTTTGGGCGTCATGGCGTAGAATCCCATTGGTACCCGCCTTACGCCCCATTTGTATGCAGAAACCTTGTATCGGGTAGAGGGGTCATTCCTGCCTCGTCCCCAGTCGCTTGCGATCACTTTTTGGGAAATATTTGAGTTAATTATCGGCGAAAAGAATTGCGAATCTACTGTGCGGCGTCGCCTCTCGCTTTGCGCGACAACTCTGCCACCGAGCGGCACTTCCACAACCTGATGGCCCTTACTACGCAGGTTAACCGATGTATTTAATGCCTCCCTTCTGCAACATACAGTTCCATTGTTATGGAAGGAAGCGAATATTAGACCGGCCCCTACAGAACTGCCATTTACTTCCTGTAACCAGCTCAGGCCTATTTCTCTAACAAATATAATTATGCGTCTGTTTGAGTGACTAGTGTATAAGAACGAACTATCTACTGTGTGCGCTAACCATATTGATCTAGACCAGTTTGCTTACCGAAAGGGACACAACTCCACCATGGCACTACTGAAGTCCCAGCATAACTGGCTAAAATGGCTTGATGGAAATGCGGACTTTGTGCGGATCTTCTCATTTGATTTTAGTAAGGCGTTTGATTCTGTGTCTCACAGAACTGTGATGTTCGGTCGCAACAAAGTTTTTCGCAATGGCGTCTTTTAAAACAATGCAAGATCTTATTTTTTAAGCCGTACGTCTAATTTTATTGACGATGAAGAATTTTTTGTGTAGTCTGACCTTTTCGAGGGGAAAAACACCTGCTTTCCGTACGAAGATTATTCAACCTGAATGAGATGACCGAGTCCGAGTGTCTGTCAGAGTTTAGGTTTGGAAAAAGAGACATTCTGATAAGATAGCTGTTTTCCATATAAAGTCTATTTCCTCTGTATTTAAGATATATGATTTGCCTTACCTAAACACGTACAAATAAATTTACCACTTACGAGTTCCCTCGCTCGGCCTCGACAGCTGTTGTCATTCTTCCCAGTAAAAACAATTCATTAGTCGAATTTTCAATCAACATCGCTTGTCCGGAGAAAAAAGGAACGATACCTGGATTTACGAGGATAAGAAAATGCAAAGGACTTAAAAAATCGCTTAAAACAGTGGATTTATACCTGCCGAACCTTGTGGATTGCAGGACGACGTGATTCTACTTTGTTTGGCGTCCTCGACGACAACACGACGACGAAATTTACTAATCGCGCTTGCGCAGTACACTGTAACTCACTTCCGGTCGTCGTCGTGGTTCGTAAGTTCGTTAAGTAATAATCCCTAGTAATAACCCTGGATCTAACAAGCTAACAGGACTAAAGTTGATGTGCCACTCAGTATTTTCGAAATCTAAATTATACCAGACATAGTTAATCAATAAAAATTGATATCCTAAAACAATAGAAATCGAAGTCACAGAAAAAATGGTTTATCGATTATTATCGATTAACAAAATCGATAACGATCGATAGTAATCGATAACAATCGATAAAAAATCATCAACGATTTCTATCGGAAAAACATCTATATTACTCGAAGTCACAACTTTTTTATCGATTTCTATCTATCGATATCGGAAATCGATATTCATCGATGATTGATATTGGTTACTATCGATTAATATCGATTATCAGTTTATCGATAAACTACGTCTGGATCATAACATTTATAAACTGTTTAAATATATTAATCGATAGTTTAAGGTTTATCATCTATTAAAAGGATCGATCACTGAAGAAGAGTGAATGACATTTTCTGTAACAAGGGAAATATTCACGTTGTCATTCACTTACAAACTTTAATTCCTTAAAGCTAATTCCTCTATTTAAAGATCTTTTCAGGCAACTCATGCCCAGTGCAGAACACCTCATTTAATTCTCCTTCCTCCTGTTGGCATGGAGGTGGATCCCAGATAGGCGAGGTAACATGTGGTTGGTCACCCCAACTATCATGGAAACGTGATCAAATTAATGAGAGATTATATGGACAGGCGGGTTACCTCACCCCCTTAAAGAGTTGGGACCCTTTTCTCAAAGAAATTGGGATGCACCAAAAATACGTGTGACTCGAAGAGCCGCTCTCCAACTAAGGTAACGATTCAGGGACCACGTTTGAGGAAAATCACAATACAGTATTTTCTCAGTTTCACGCCACCAGAGTTTATTACATCGCTGGCCAGGTGAAGCCGGCGGGCTCCCTATTTTTTAAGAAAGCATTTTCATTCCCTTTTTGGCTTGGCAGCCATCTATCTTTGGCTATATACCTTAAGTTTATTATGCCGCAAACGTTTGGGGGACTATAACTTCGTATTTTAGACCCGGCCTATATTCGGAGCCAAGGATTCAATTGAGAAAATACAGTATGGACGGTACCCCCCTTAACCCATCCACTCTCCCAAAAGTGGCCGGAGACTAAATTCCCACACATTTTCTGAAATTTTATCTTTAAAATGCTGAAAAACAAATAGAACCATGTGAAAGTACTGGCACAGACGTCTCTGACATTGGAGTCAATGGTTTAGGACTTTGTCCACAGACTCAGACGTTAGAACCACCTTACGAAACTTCATTCATGTATCGGTCTCTTCCCGAAGCTACAACATCCCTCTGGGTATTTGACAACTTAGCCTTATTGGGGAAGGGAATTTAATAATCACAGTCTTTTATGGGGTAGGGAATTTGATTCCCATGCACAAGAGGTAGGAAATTTTAACCCTAACAGCCTAGCTTCGATTTCTTGCAAAAGGCATAATAATGTATAACAGAGGCTGACAAGACAAAATTGTGGCTTCGTGGCGGATCGGCTAAAAACAAAAGGATTACACAAACTTTGCTCCGTCTGAAGACTCGGCTTCAAGAGCAACAAAAAGCAACATTAACAGTTAAAACAGTAAGTCCCTATTATTTCTCCAAGGTAGGGGCATTTGGACACCCAAAACGGACCTTTGATGGGGCATTTGAACACTATTTTTTCAAAAATTCAAACGCCTGTTGGAACTTGAAGCCTCAATAGACCTTTACACGGTTTTTTAAACTTTTGACATGGACAAGTTAGGGAAAAACCGTCAACACCACTGAAACGAGCGCCTTAGAATTAGTAACATTGGTAGTTTGAAAGTGATACGTCTTAAGCGAGCGACAATATAGCTCCGCAAATTTGCAAAAATTTACAGACGTTTGTATGGTGGGGTGGTGGGTGGGGCAAGTTTGTGCCCCCCCCCTCTCCACCATACAAACGTCTGTAAATCTCGCGACTTTGACATGCTATATCTTCATTAGTTTTCAACAAATCACTTTCAAACTATGCAATTTTACTAATTTTAAGGCGCTCTTTTCAGTGGTGTCGACGGATTTTCCATAACTGGTCCATATAAAAAGTTGAAAAAACCGTGAAAAGGTCTGTTTGACCAGTGCATTACTCTGGGAGTAAAGGGGATAAGGATACTTCACGGGAGAGCGACCTGAAGAAGGTGTCTGAATAAAACGCCTACGTTTCTGAACAGACAGCAAAACTCACAACGATAATCATAATAATTTAACTAAGGATACAAACTTCTTTTCCATACAGCGCATTATGAGATTCAAAACTCTTGTTGCACTAATTCTCAATCACTTGTGAAGATTCATCCTCCACAAATATCCAAAAATTCATCTTTCTCAAGAGGTTCATCAACATCCGCATCTTTGTTTATCTCATTAAGATGATATTGTTGGAAACGATGCTACCATTACTTTCCACAGGTGCTTAAAACCAACAGCCAAGATCATATATTAACTGTTAATAATGCAAAAAACAAGAAGCATCCAGACACTCCAAGACGCCATAGCTGAATATGATAGTTGACACGCACATCTGTCAAGTAGTTACAAGTTTGTTAAGCAGAGAAGGCTGGTAAATAGGATGATTATGAAGAGGCCATAGCTCCAGGCAATGGAGAAGGAATGTCCAGGTTTGGAATGTCAAATAAATCGCAGACACCTTCAGAGTCATCCAAGTTGAAGTAGTAGTCGTGCTCACCTGGCGGTGGCGATAACCGCAGAAGTGGCGCATACACTGTACATGAGCAATAAAAAAGTCAACAAGTTGTCTTCAGCACAGTAGTAAACATAAGTACAGTTCCCCACTTCAGAATCTCTACAGAGAATGAGTACAAATCAGTACAAACTCTGGAAGCAGTGATCTCTGGGATCGTTTGGCTGGATAAGTGTTAGTTATGATTGGTAAATGGTATTCAAGCCGACCATTAACCAATAAGAAGTAATGTTTGTCCACCCAAACTATCCAAGAAATTGTTGCACCTAAAGCTTGTACCTTTTCCCCTTATAGTTTCTGAATGGGGCATACTATTTCTCAGGGTGCGTTTGATTGGGAAATCTGGATTTAGATTTTAAAATCCGGATTTCGGATTTGCAATCGAACGCGAAATCCGAAAAAGGGTTTCAACGTTGAGATATCTGTTTTTGGATTTCATTTTTACCGTTTGATTGGGAAATCCGAAAAAGGATTTGAAAAACTGTCCTTAAGAAAAGCAGTCTTGCACGCGCACGCATACTTAGCAAAAAGAAGACCACTGTTCACGAGAATAGTTTTGCAAATCCTTTTTCGGATTTCCCAATCGAACGGTAAAAAGGAAATCAATGAAATCCGGATTTGGATTTCTTAATTGAAATCCACCCTGAGGACGGATTTCTCGGAGGTGAAATCCGTTTTCGGATTTCGCGTTTGATTGAGAAATCTGGATTTAGATTTCCCAATCGAACGCACCCTCAGTCAATACCCCAAGGAAGTGGCTGCTTAAATCATAGAGGTTCTGTTTACAGTGATGTAATGAGAGTTTTTGTTTGCTGATGAACAATCCCTGATTTCCTTACTGTTTAACAACCAAAACGTCTATTAAGCAGCCACCCTCTTCCTTAAAAAGTGAATTTATCATTATAATATGAAAACACCGCATATCTTCCTTAACATCATACTGATTCAGTAGATGAAAAAATTAGAACAGCTACGAAGTTTTGTATGTTCTACGTTACTTTTGTTTCCTCTTAAAATGGCCTGGAGTCATGCTCACAGTAGGCCCAGGTAATCCCCAATCCCCAGGGACTTTAGAGGCAGCCATGAATACCCCTTTAATTTCATAAAATCTTTACCTTCTGCTGACATAAACTCTTCCATAACTTCCTCTGCAATATTACCTTCTGTGGTAGTTAAAAATAAATAAACCACAGTTAACTTTCTAGTCAGCATAACAGAAGATCCTAACACAAGAAAGTTGTTCACAAATCTTGCACAAGATAAAATAAACCTGTTTCAGGTAGTAGAGTGTAGATGTTACAGGTCAAAGTTAAATTCAGGTTAAAATTTTTTAACCTAGGTTGATTCTCAATTTTCTTTGTCTCCTAGCCCTAATCATTCATGAATCCGGACTAGGAGAAATTGAAAATCAACCTCGGTTAAAAAATCTTAACCTAAATTTAATTTTGACATGTAGCAGAGACACAAATCATGATCAGTAAAAAAATAACTTCAAGATCATAGACCTATTCGGCTAACTCAATGTTGTACCCAATTCAAACCCTTTGGGAATAAAACGTTTTGTCTCAGGAATTTCCATATCATTTAATGTGAATGCCACATTATAATGCAAATACAATACACAAAGAATCTTATCCCCGGGAGATTTGAATTGGGTACAACATTAAGTTAGCCGAACAGGTCTATTGTAGAAGACTAGGAGGTAATAGGGCTGGGTTGAGCTTCTACTAGGCAACTTAGGGTACTGTAGTCCTACTGCCCCCCACCCCTAAACAAGGTGGTCATGGAGACAAAGTAGCACACAAAGTCACACATCCAGTAATGGTGATTGCTTATGAATAGTGTGCAATCATGCTCTCCCTGTAGTCTCTTTATGTGTTTGGCGGGAACGAGGGCATGATGTGTTTATTTACCAGATCACATGCAAAAAATCCACAATCTGGAGTTCTTTCTCATTAGTCCGGACACAATACGTCTGACACAGTTCTGTTCTGATAAGCTGGAGATTAGGTTTGAAGTCCCTTGCGATAGTGTTTGAATGAAATGTAATTGATTCCCAAGGTTGAAATACTCTGCCTGGCTTACATTTTTGTGCTTACTGGCTTTATACCCAGAAAGCATTATGTCAACGTCTGTGTTAGTCAATAAGTCCATTTCTATTGTTCTCATAGCGCAAGGCATTGACGCTTAACCTTTGGAGCCAAAGGTACTGTGTTTGATACTCGTTATCATCTTTTTTTCAGTAACAAATTAATTTTATAAATTCTCTCTTTTTTCTTCTTTTACGCTCACTAACTTAATATTAAAAAGAACACTAATCATTTCGAAGATAATTAGATTAAAAGCAATAAATTTGCAAGAAGTTACTAAGTTACACTCTGACTCGAGATTCACCATCAATCGATACTCGATGGCGCCTTTTCTTTTTAAGGACTTTGTCAACCTTGAGGATTTTTATTTTTTTGTTAAGGTACATGGACTGAAACAAACTATTAAATAATTTGGATGGAATTGAATTAACTCATAGCACACAGCTTTAACATTCACTTTAACCTCCAGCGCAGAGCAATCTCATTCCTAGGGTAAGCATTACCCTTGTCCAGTGGGATGAGCAACATTGGGAGCAGAGGTACTTGGTTCAATACCCGACGAATAAAATAGATTCTTTTCTCTATTTTTTTTTTTCACTTTTTTATGGTTACTGGAGAAAAGACTATTCATAGCTCCTCAGTTTTTCAAAGAAACAATTGAACATGGCAGTTGTTTTGATTTCCCCATCATACAAAAATTGTTCATGCCTTGAAGGAATTCAGTTTCAGTTATGATTATGACAGGTCGACCAGACGTAATGTATCAGATGTTTCTTTTTTGTTTCTCTCTCTCTTCTCATTGCAGATTACTTACAAGCAGTTAACACTATAGCAATTTGAGTATTTTGGATAAAAGAGCATTGCTTCCAAGGGCTAGGCACACATAAAAGTTCAACTGTATTTTATTACTGAAAGTATTTGGCATAAGACTTGGAGTGAAAGGGGTTGATGGATTGGAATTTTACAACAATACTGTTGTTACCTTTGAGGCTATTTCCAAATATAATGTCATTAGCAACCTCTTTAAGCTCATTTGCTAAAAAACAAAAGAAAAATTAAAAGACATAAAGAAACAGACAGAATGCCTCCAGAAAGTTCCTGGAGAGCAAGAGCTTTAAAATGTGAAATAAAAATCAGAGACTGCTAAATATTTCTTGGGTCATTTACTGTCTTGTTACTGAAATTACCTCTGCTGGATTCTAGAACTTCTGTCTTGACTGCTTCACCTTTTAAGCTGAGATCATTTGTAAATTTAGCATCAGTGCCGGTCTCCATTGGTTCTTCACCTTTCATTCCGGAATGGTTATTTGAATTAACATCATTAGCCGGCGGAGGTACAGGCGTCACTACCGGACTGTTTGCAGAAGCATCCTTGTTTACCAATAGAACATGGATTGGACCATTTTGACTTTTCAAATGAATCTGGTACTTGTTTGGTTGCTTCATATTCTAAAAAGAGGAATGCAGCGATAGGGTGATGTTGGGCAAGGCAAAGATTATTTTAGGCATCAATCCCTACTACTGTGAAATAAACTAGCAACACTGTATTTCAATCCCAAACATTGAAAAGCTGCTCACAGAATTCCAATCACAGAAATAGAATAAAGCCTCTTTCACCCATACAGTTCAGCTGAGGTTTAAATGTCATATGGGCTGAACTCTCTAATTCCTATCTTTGGCTGAAAACATCAACACAAATTGACTAGATTACTTCAATTAAAAAATGAACAAGAAACGTGTACTGGTACTTACTGTCTCTGGAATTGGGACCTCGAGTTGTGTTCCAGACGGAGCTTGAACAACCAACAACGTGTCCCCTCTAAAACTGTGACAAACATCTTCATAAGTAGCATAGGCTAGCTGTTCATTTTCTGGATCTTCAGAAACATTCTTGAGGCTTTGTTGAACCCATAATCTTTGTTCATCCAATTGTCTTTCTTGGTCTTCTAGTCTTTCTAGCTCGTCCTTTAAAAGCACTAGTTTGTCAGATATTTCTCTAGTGTTACAACCTGGACCAGCCCCTCTGCAAACAAAACATAATATGTTAGCACTTCAACACCTGTGAGTAAACAATATAAACTGCGAGATTTAATTATGTTTCCAATAAACTCATCAGTCCACAGCCTTAAACTAACTCTTTTACCAGGATCTGCCTGGCTTCCAAATTCTCAAAATGGTGGCCATTTCCAAAGGGAAGGTCAACAAGGTTTTTCAACAAGCAAAATAAAACACATGTCAAGGCTATATTAAGCAGACCTACATTATGCAGTCACCCTCTATTAAGCAGCCATTAAACAAATCCCAGAAATCATGTCCCTTAATTACCAGTACTGCAAAGCTGACATGTATTAAGCGGTCACCCCTATTAAGCCATCAAGGTCATCTTTTCCAAGATCCCAACGACTTATTTCATCGTTTTCACCTCTATGAAATGATTACTTTGACAAGATGCATCAAATCTTTGTTTAACAGTCAACCTGTCTTAAGCAGTCAGTAAGCCATTACAGGTTTAACTGTAGTGTGCATTTAAGCCACCCAGTCTGACCAGTCTGATTTTCCCTCGGGCGACCAAAATTTCAAACAGGGAGACCAAAGGGGCACCTAAAACTTATGATTCTCGGGCTAACTTCCAGTGAACAAACAACAAAATTCCCTGCTCATTCTGCACTTTAACGACAATCGAAAACGTTTGATCGACAGCCATAGGCAAAAACATATTTCCACCGATAAAATGTAAACACACAGCACTATGTCTTGAAATTTGCTTCTGTGACTTCCACTGCAGAACAGTCAAAGTTTCTCGTCTGAAAATGGCGTCGAATGAATTTAATAGTCTTCGAGAAAAAACTTGGATAATAAAATCATGACTTTTCCTTCAGCGTTAGAAACGTTAAGGGTCACTACTGCATGAAGTAAAAACTGATATAAAGTCACGATCCGTGGAAAAGCAAGCTGGTTACAAATTACAAGTGACATCGGTGGTTTCGGTATGCTATTAACTTTTGCAAGTTTGTAGCATTTTCTCTTATTTTATTCAGTGTTGTCTACACCTCCCTATCTTTTGCTGTACTTTTTGTGGTAACTTTTGAAAACTGGCAAAAACATTTTAGTTTTTGAAAGTGGCTATTCAAGATCATGTTTCAATCTCATTAAGTTCTGCAGTTGAGTGCAATGTACATAAATACAAACCTTCACAAATACATAAACAGTTCAAAGTTAATAGTTCAAAAGATAGACTTGATAGAAAAAATACTGAGTTAATTTTCCAAACTTCCAGATAAAAACCTTTTGTCTGTCCTTTTTTATCACCTAAAAACTGAACATGTAAGTGCTGTTGGTCAGAGCTTTCCCAGTACGTGTGAGAGATCATTGTTATGTTTCTTGAGAAATAAATAGTTTCTCGAAATCCTTTCGAGTGGCGAATATAACAAAAGCTGGTTTCTCCAAACTCAAGACTCAGTTTTCACGTTTCGAAACTAAATTCATTCGAGGCTTGAGCATTGTTGCGGTTTTGTCTCGTCACATGATGCTCCTTAAGCCTTCCCGACTTATCTAGGAAGATTGAAAGGCCTCTGCTCGGTGGGTATAAATTGATAAACAACAACTTCTTCAAAGATAGATCTTTCCAGTGATACCTCGTTTTGGATATTCTGACCAATCCTGTCAGAGTTACACTCACGAAAAAGGTAACATTTTGGGGAAAAACCCACTACCAATTTCGCTGTTTACATACTACTCTTTGAAGATTAAATTTGCCCCTTTCCTAAGAAGTTAGCCAGCCACAATTCCATGCAAAAGAAGGACAATAAAGTGGGCAACAAAACTGCTGATAAACAAGAAAGGCAAGGGAAAAAAGAGAGCGAGAGAGAAAGATTGAAATAGATTCACAAAAAAAGGAACAAATTTTGGCTTTTGTGCATGTGTGAAAAACAAATAAGCTGTTTAATTACGTCAGATTAGTCGAAAAATATGCGGTTTCTCTTTGCAAACTCATTTTTAAGCTATTTTTATCCTAATTAGCCAAAAACCAGGCCAAAGAAGAGGAATTGGTGAAAAATGCTGTTTTTTTGCTACTTGCCGGCCATCGCCAAAGGGTTAATAAAATTACTGACCTTTGTTTAATTGAGCTCCTAGAAATGCGGCTTAGGCTCCTAACTTTTTATTTTAGGAGCCCAAAGGGCTCCCAAAAAATTTTCTAAAGCAGCAGTCTTGGAAGACTTCATAAGAAAACTGGACCGGATCTCTGTTTACTTATATATATCAAAAGCCTTGCATTTGTTTTCAAATAAGTTTTCTTATCATTAAAGCTAGGCTGAAGAAATATTTCTCTCCTTCTTTTCCAAAAAAATATTTAAACAAACCTTTAAATACAGACTTTAATTTTGATAAGTTATTCCTGTCCAACCACTCTCCGAAAAATTCTGGTGTTTTTCCTTAAAAATACATAGTCATGAGGTCTGCAGCCATTATGTAAACCATGCAAGAAATGACACATACTTCGCACAATCAAAGAGAAGATGTTTTTTATTTGCCCCACCCCCTACCCCCAGCATAGGACTGCTTCACACCATTCTCCAACTCTGGGCCTGAAGGGCTGGACTTGTCCCAGGAGAAGCGGGGGGAGGGGGGGGATGGTAACAGGTCAAAATACAAAAAACTAATAGCAAAACATGTATTCAAATGCTTTGAAAAAAGGAAAGGGGAAGATGGCAAAAAGTAAATACTATAGGACTTAATTAATTGATAACTTATTAGCCATATATGGTTAGCAATTTTTGTTGTTTGTAATTTTAGTTATTTGGAAAAAGTTGACTCTAAATAAAAAAAATGTATTTATGTATGTATGTATGAGCCACACATCAGAAAAACATGTCATATTTGCACCAATTAGAACCTGTTTTTCTATCACGTGTCCACACTTAGAGCTGTTTCAAATGTCGTGCTACTGCTGTGCTAAGCTGGCTCAACTGTAGCATGACACTTTCAGATGCTGAATTTATTTCAGTCGAATAGAATGGCTGTTGCCGAAAACAAAACACAAAAATAAAGAAACAGTTTAGCAAACTTTGAAATGTATTCTAATGTGTTTATAATTTATGAATTGAGTTCGGCACAAGCCGTGCTACACGGCAGTAGCACGACTTGGTTTCAAACGTCGCGTTACTGCTGTGCTAAAGTTGAATTTAATTCGAATTTAATTCCCTTCTTGGCTTTTTCCCTTCGGCACAACTGTAGCACGACGTTTGAAACAGGCCTTAGATGCAAACTGCAGTAGGTACAAAAAGCAAAAGAAAAAAGTGCATTTCTTGCATGTGTGTTTGTTCACAGCTTGCCCTTGCAAAACAAACTACTTTCATTAGTCACAAAGTTAATAATCAACCCCTCCCCCCCCCCCAAAAAAAAACTTATTATAAATAATAGTTATAAAAAATAATGGTAAGTAAAATCAACAAGAAGAGAATAACATAATATGCAAAGTTCCATATTCTAATGTATTTCGCATGTAGGAGCTAAAATTATAATTTGTTTTGATTGGCGGGAATCCAAATAAACTTTCTATATATTTAATTATTTTAAGATTATGTTGCCCTTTAAAGTCCCGTAAGCACAATGCATTATTTTTGGCATAGATATTCTTTAAAAAAACTACGTTCTTGTTAGAATTTCATCTTATTCGTTTTTAAGTCTTTCTGAAACAATTACCCAACTTATGAACGTTTAGACAATCGAGCGAGGGAAGTATCGCTGCTTTCTCTTGAATTTCCTCTTAGATTACGTTGAAGGCAAGCTAGCATTGCGTGAAAATGATTGTTATGAAATGTGCAACTAGCTACAGTAACAAGACTGTAACAGTAGAATTTGAGTGAAAATAGTTTGCCCCTTTTTTTCTTTCTATTTTCCGGGGAATATGACGATGTGAAGGGCGCCAAAATAAATGGCGGTAAACGACCTTCACAATCGAGTTTGCGCGCTGACACCACGCGTTCCAACGTCAATAACCCAGCAAAAAACTACCAAAATGTTCTGGTTTTTTTTGTTTTCTGGCTGAACTTTTGCGATTTCAAAGACGGTGAAGGACAAAAGTCTTCAATGCTTAAGAATCTAAAATAAAAATGCCATAAATATCCCGCGAGAATGTCAGGGAACTGCGATGGAATTCGCATGTTGTCCCGCGCGACTGCCTTTTGTCACATGAACTTTCCCGTTCGTGAGATACTTACTTCCACTGAATGCTATTCTTTGATTTCTTGGTTATCAGCCCTATTCCTTCGAGAACATTAGTAATATCGTAAATTCGTCGCTTTTGACGAACAGCGAGTGTATCGGCGGCCTGAAAGACAACAAGGTAAACATCACTTCACAAAGTGAATGCAAAATGCATCGGGAAGCACAAAGAAGGACAACCGAACATAAAATCGCCTATTTCGCGGGCTAAAAGACCCGGATTTCTTTTCGCACTCACAACTTTAAGATCCAAGACACCATCCTTAGCTTCTTGCAACAAACTGACGAATTTCGTTGTCAATAAACCCAGCGATTTTTCATGACGACTTGGCGTTCCCGGAGAACCCAAGGCCGGAGAACCGAAATCCGCCATGATAGCCGAGCTGCATGCTGCAAGAGACCTTGCGTTGCTGTGATTGGCTAATAAAAAAATTTAAATAGTGCGCCGTTGGAGCGCGCTTAGAAGCCACAATTCAAGTAGGGGAGGGCTCTTTAGTATCGTAAGTTTCTAATATCTTCGTGCGTTTTTCTACGTTTTATAGAACAAAAAAAATGTTTTACGAGAGATTACGTAACTTAACTCACAAGAGTAAATTCATTTTGCTTTTCAATTAAAATGAACTGAGAAAATTGCTAGTTTAAAATTCAAGTTCTTACCCTACCCTAGAGGATTTGTTTGGTAGCTTTTTCGTCACCAGGGTCCTAAACCCAATCCTCAAGTTTTTCCCGCGCGCGGGTTTTTTTTCTGGGGACCGCACCTCTGTTCGGCAGTTCTCTCTTTGGCAGCATGAATGGAGGAGGAAAAACTTCAAGGTTTCATTTTTAAAACAATTTTTTAATGCGTCTCGTTGTATAAATAGTCAAGTGTTAAGGTATGTCAGCATTTAGAACACAATGCGAGAGTTTTCGACCCTCTAATTCATTTAGTCCTCCGGGTGCCATTATAAGAAGCTACCACTTAACATAAGACGATACTACAATTTCTTAAAAAATGAAATAGTGGAAAGTAATATAAGATGGGTGGCATTGAAGTGGTGGAAGTCGGCTACCAGGAAATATGATATTTTCAAACAGACTTACTTTGTTTTTTCGATAAATGTTAAAATGTTGAGTCAGATTAAATTGTTACTTTTACCATTGATCATACGCTTCTATAGCAGAATTTTGGAAAAGCACGTAGTTTCAAATGTTAATAACTGAAAAATAGAGTTTTGCCCATTACATGTTAATCCAGGAGATATTCATAGTTCCCCACTGCAGAGCTGTCAACGTCTGGAGATCTAAAATCTGACCCTAAAACCCTAAATCTGGAGACTCATGGTGTTGGGCACTAACCCCCCCCCAAATTGTTACCGAGCCCCCCCCCCAAAAAAAATCGACTCAGCCCCCATGCCCCAGAAACTGTACTATGAATAAAACAATTTCGTGTTTTGACAATAAAAATTGGTTAAGTTTCAAACCAAAGCATAGAAAAGCTCAAAAGTTGATTTTAACAGGGGCATTTTGTTACCTGTGCAGGGAGCAGGAGATCAGTGCTGTTTGCCGGAGAGTTAGCATATATGCACTCAGGGTCTTGTAGTTTGACCATCCCCTCCCCTTTGGGCCTGATACTTTCCTTCAGTATACAGATTGTGGCCTTTTTGACCCCCTCCCCCTCAGAATTTCCAAAGATCCTCTTTATGTTGGAGGAGCCTTGCCTGTTGCAGCATATGATGATGCATACAGTTCACACTAGAGGTCACTAGAAAGAACACTGAAATTTCGCTTATTATAAACAAAACTCGCGATAACAATGTGTTTAGTTGCTAACCATTCTCTAAGCTGTCAATGTTTATCCAATCCTAATGAAATTCTCCTCTAAAGCAGGAGTCGGAAAATTGTAAAATATGCATGCATTTAGCATTTTGGGCCATGCTTAGTTGCTTAGCCTTTTATGGGAGGACAAGATTATTCCATCGAGCATTAATTTTTATTGGTAGAAAGCTACTGCTTTTATCAACCCAAAAGACCACATCCTCATCTGGAACAAATGATTTTCTCCTCAAAAGATTTAAGCTGCCATTCTTTGATCATGTTTATTAGATTGGCCTCCTATGAATAATGTCATTCTGTCCAATGTAAAATTGACAGGAAGCTTCTGAAAAAGAATGTTTAGCAAAACAATGGCTCAACCAGCATCACGACAGAGACCATGACAAATGAAGGAATTTCAACCTTCAAACTAGCCGAAGGATGGGTCCTGTTAAACTTTGTGTGTGAGTTAGTGTGAGTGGAGATCAACATGTAATATAAATACACAGCAGTAATACACCGTAACATGCACAGCTGCCAACCAGGAGGATAACACAACCAGCAGGTCAAATGCCAGTGAAAAGCAAAGAAACTGCTTTGTTTACAGGTATGTACTGGGGTTACCCCCCCCCCCCCCCCCCCACGGGGCCCCCAGACAGGGCTTGCCCCCGCGGGGGGCCCCTTTTGTGGTTCTTGTTTTTTATAATGGCAGGAAATACCACTGGGAGGGGGTGGTTTGTACTTTTTTGGTGTGGGTGTAGCGGCGGGGCGCGAAAAAGGTCGAAGGTTGGTCCTTTTTAACTTTTTGTGGGGGTTAATGTGGAGGGGAAATAAAAATTAAAATAAAAAACCAGCAGGAAAACACCCTAAAATGCCCCACCGCCCACCCAGGGGGAAACCCAACCCGCAGGGTAAAAGCCCGTGAAAAACAAAAAAACCTCTTTTTTTTCAGGGATGGAATGGGGTTTCCCCCCCCCCCCCCCATAGTGGCCTACACGAGAAGGTTCTGCCTGAAAGGGGTACCTTTTTCAGGTTTCAGTTATATGAAATGATAGGAAATTCACCCGGAGAGGGGTACTTTAGGAATTTCTGGGTGGGGATGTGCCGCTGGGACCCTGGAACCCTGGAACCCTCAACCTATACCATAGAACTAGTTCAGCTGAATTTTGCTACCCTATACTAGAGTAAACTCCCCAAATCCCCCCTATTCTAGAGAAGTTGTTTCCCAGAAAGTATACCCTATCCTAGAGTAAACTGCTTGAAAACCATACCCTTCACAGCGGCACATACCTATATAGCCCATATATGGCAGTACCTCCGGGGGGGAATTCACTAGTTCAAGTAGATGAAAGGGAAGGGAAATCTGCCATTTCGGTCCTCAGGACTTAAAATCTGGGTAACAGCTAGATGCTACTTGGGCTGTAAGAAGGACAAGAAAACTTTCTACTTCAGTGACCTGTTCATATCAACAAGACGGTGCATATACAGGAGTTAAAGGGAATGCAGTATTCTTACTAGGTAAATGATAGGGGTACAATTTGTCAATAAAAGGTATATGAAAAAGGTATCTTTTCTAGCAAAAATTTGTGGACCGTGGGTTGGAGCCTCCCAGTATATAACTTATTACTTCATTAAGTGCCCTAGCCTGGACTGCTGAGTGTTGTGGAGCTATTAACCCAGAATTGAGTTGCTACTTTGATCATTTCTTCTCAAAAAGTCTAACAAATAGTGCTTGCTCATTGGTAAAGTTTTAGTGAAAATACACTAGCCTGAGAGCTCCTTCTTCTTCCCTGATATCCAAAGGACAGGGCTCTAGCACCCCATTATTACAGCCATTCAAAAGAAATGTTTTCTTATGATCTTTCTTTTCTTTTTGCACAGATTCCAAGCAGGTTCAGTTTGTGGGAATCTTCATTTACAACCCTTCCTGGTGTATAATTTATACGTGATCTTTGGAGCACCAACAATGCCTTCAGGTGACATTTTTATTAGGGTATGCTTTTGTTAAATATAAGATTATGTTGTTCTGGTTGTTTTACCTCTCCACGTTATTCTACAGAATTACTTATCTGTGCCTATAATGTTTTATTTTCCTTATTCAATTAGTGAAATAATAACTATAATGATGATAATCATGATGATGATGATGATAACAGTTATAATGATAGTAATAATAACTATGTATATTTGGAAAAGAGTTAGGGACAAAGTCATAAAAAAACACTGATTTTCTTTAATCCTTTCATCTTTTTGTCTCAAACCAGATCTGGGGAAAAATATATCAAGCTAAATTCACCAGGAGTGGCACTGAAAAAAAATGATAATAATTAATATCATAATATCATAATTTTTCATGTTTTACAAGATAATGAAATCATTTTTTTTTTCAATCAGAATTTGCTCACTAAGATTTGTTCCTGTGACTTCCCATGCTAAATATAATACTTTTTGTACTGCGCAACATTTCTTGGCATGATTTTATCAGGCGCGGATCCACACCGGTTTCCACCGTTTTACAGAAATCGCGGGCGGGTCACATTTTTCATACTACCGGTAAATATATTTTTAATAATAAAAAACACCTTCCAAGTTGAAATCCTGTCTGAATGACTCGGAAACCCTGGAAAGGGAATTTTAAGAAGTCAAATCCACTGAAACATCCTGAGGGAACCCGCCCCCGGAACCGGCAAGAAGCTTGCGCCTTTGGTGCTCGTTTAGGAAATCGGTCAGTATTTATCCTAGATCCGCGCCTGTTTATAGTCATTATAGTGTAGTCAAAACTTTGCCAGGAGACCCCAGGAAAATGTTTTTTTTTGGTTTTTTATTGCCACAACACCAATCATAGAATAATTGTGATGACAATATTTTTTTATTGATAAATTGACATCCCTCATCCACCCCACCTGTGGACATGATTTTTGGATGATAATGTTAATAAAAAAAAATCACAACCCAACAGAGCCTCATAGAAATAGACTGTGTTCACAATGTACTTTGACGACTATTACAAGCACTCATAATATCACTCATGAAGTTCTTCTAGGATGACAGAACAGATACAAATTTTATAGCACCATTTAGAATGCATTTCTAGAGATCTAAAAGTACTCTGGACAGCCCAAAAAGTGTTTTCAACAGTTGGGTGCCCATAAACTTTGTTTGCAACTGGGACGCAATCAAAAAACTCTAGAGATGGTAGTAGAGCTTAACAAAAAGCAGGTCTGCCAAAAAATTAATTTTTAGGTTGTAAACTTGTTATGATGAGTTTTTATGGTGGGATGACTGACTAACAAATAACCTTTACCAATGTAGCCTGAGTATCAGGCCTTCCTGAGGGGAGAAGAGATTTTAGAGGGGCAGTGGGAGGGGAGAAGAGAAAGAAGAAAGGCCTGACACAAAACCATTCAAACTGACACATCCGAAATCTGAACATGACAATGACTGGGTAACACACAATACCCTCTGATGTCCGATGTTGTGCCACCAGAAATCAAAGGATCTGTGTCACGAAATTTATCAACATTCGAATGGTGAGAACTGCCACCAAACTAAGTGAAACATAAAAATAACAGTACTCAGAACATGAAAAGAAGGTATAGATAGCAGTGCATTATTACTGTGGAATTTGAAAAACTGTTAGGCTAACAATTTTTCAAAGTTCATTTTTGTTGCTTGCACTAGTAAATGATAAACTTTATTATCAATCACGACCATAAAACTTTGTGTGGACTGATCTAGGATGGTTCATTTACCAACTGGAAGTTCAGATTTGATTCTGATCCTCAGGTCAATGACCTCCAACCTTCTTGTAGTTGAGTGTGTCCAGTTTGTATTCTGGTTCTTTATGGAGAACCGATAGCATTGTCTTTTCTAGAGTTAATAAGCGCCCCTCTCAAATGAGCCCCCCGCCCCCATCTCTATTAAGCCTTCCCTCAAATGGGCTTGAAATAGATAGGCACCCTGGGGAGCTTAATAGAGGATTTACCGTAATGCTTAGAGACAAATTTGTTTGAATAGACCTCTTAACTCAGATAAGGCAGCCATATTGAATTTATCACATTTAAGGAGTATTATGGGATACCCAGGGGGGCATGAGCACAATCCAATATACTCTCTTGCTATTTATGCATGCTTTTCGGGCCAATTTTTCTTTAAGAAATAGATTGTAATGGGAAAAAAAGATTGTTCTGCCATGTTGGGATGTAATAATGATCACCTTATTTCCCAAGAAATATACAGTGAAGTTATCTTTTTGCCCAAAAAGCATGCGTAAATACTGAGCGAGTGCCCCCTGGGAATCCCATAATACTCCTTAAATTTAATAAATTCAATATGGCCACTGTATTGGTAAAAAGGTTATCATTAAGATCCCATCATCTGCAGCCCCTTCAGACACCTCATGAAATTTAAGGGTTAAGCATTGTTTCGAAACTGGTTAGGTCCTTTTTTAGGTTGGGGTTGATGCTATATGTACTTAAAATTATTATTTCCTCACCATCCAAAAAAATCCTAAGTGGTCTCGTCATTAGTTTGGTATACTGGGTATTCTGGATTGTGGGTTCAAATCCTAGCTACTGCCCTTCATGTCAAAATTTTTTTCTTTCAAATTGAATAGACTTGCACTTTCATGAACATTTTCAGCTTGAAATATTGTCTAAATGATAAAAGCAGAAAACAGTTCTACCTTGTGTAAATTTCATAAGGGAAGAAAGGGGCTACAGCCAATGGGATCTAATGCTGACCTGGTAAAAAGGTCTATTGAAGCTGTGATTTTGCAATTCACAAGTATGTTTGGCACTTGACAGTTTGTGGTGTTGTGTTTGTACAGCATGACCACAAATGATGTTGATTGGTTAATGCTGAATCATGCTGCAAGGGGTTGGAGGGCTTTAGTAAAATTATCTATCATGCTTCTCTCCCTTTGCTGTCTTTCCTTTTGAATTCCCTTTTCTCCTTACCCCCACCCAGAAACGCTTGATAATCAGATGCCTAGTAATCCACCCACCGCTTACTGTTCACTGGATTGAACAAATCCAGTTAGGACTTTGGCTCCTGTCTCTCTCTGAATTTCCATTTAACAACCATATTTCTATGTAACCATCTGACAAATCTTATCATTTTTTTCTGAAGTATGACAGACACAAACTCTGAGATAAAACACACAGCTGAACCATAGAAAACAGTCACCTCTCTCTACAAGAGCCTTTTATGTCCCAGCAGACAATCCACTTGTTTTAACTCTCCACAGAGGTAACAGGAACTAAATTGAACCCCAACTGCATACTGGATATATCCAAACGGTGCGTTGCAATTCAAGGCAATTCTTGGCTTTTCCGCAAAACCTCTTCACAACTGTCAGTTGAAAGCAAGCATCATAGAAACTTATGCAATCACTGTTCCAACTTGATTTGTTTTGTCAACATTTTAGTTCTCAACTTTTGGTTTCTTTATCATCAACATACTTTAATTGCAGTGCATATAAACATAGTGTAATAAGAAATAAAACCCTGATGGCAAAAAATTAATGTCACATTACCCCTACCTTCCCACCTGTCCTATTCATGCCACCTTATCATCCATCCTCAAGGTGAGCTTCTCAGAGAGATTCAACTGTACTTTTGTGATCACCATTATGATACTGAAATCTTGCAGTTTTATGGTATAGATGTGCCTTCTCAGATTATCAATAGTAGTTATTAGACAGCAAGTGAACAATCTCGTTTAGCAAGGAGAAGCAACACCTACAACACTTTCACCCCATATCAACAAAAATAAAAGACTATAAGAATTGGAAAGCTTTGAAACAGTAATTTACTTTTTTGAACAATAGTATAACAAATCATTGAGGAACTGGTATATACTAGTACAAATTATAATCTCCAGGTAATATAGACAACTATTCAATAGCAGTTTAGTAACAGACACATAAAAAGAGTAGCAATAAAAACCAACAAAGACACATTTAATCTTGGTTGTGGAAGCAAACAAATCATGCTACTTAAACAACCAAGTATAAACATGCAACCAGACTCCATTTCACACAAGTATTGGACTAGTAATTCTGTTAATTTACATCACAGATCACCCAATTTACTGTACATGTATTCTAGTTAAGCTGGCAAATAGCATCATGACGACACTCATGTTGGTTTTTTGCCACTACATTTGCATGTTTACTATCAATAGTAATGTAAACAAGACTGAAATTCTGCATCTGGTGTACAGAGAAATACAACCAATCAGGTACAAAACTCAAATAATTTATAATACAAATCTATATAAAAGTATATTTTTTCTCTGATAGCAAAATAAATTATACATCCACAATAGAAAATAATATTGGATTTTGCATCCAACTAGAGTAAATTGCATTCAGGCCTTTGTTTGACCTGAATAATATGTACTAGATAAATCATATATCTATAATAATGAAACATTTTACTTTATATTCATTTCATATAGTTTTACGGCACCTTGCAATGTGCTGATGGCCCATAATATTACAGTTTATTGATAAAATAATATTAAATCTCAGTTTTCAAACAGGTAATTACAAGAAAATATATTATGTATTTTATAGCCAATTTATGACTGTTGGCATTTGTAATCAGATGCTTTATACATCAACTCTTCAATATGTGTTTTCTCTATTATGGTACATTCTTAATTGAAATATGAACAAATTATTACCATGATGTTAATTGTTCTTCTTTCAAAACAATGATAAGCAGAATTTAGTTTTACATATATTTTGATTACATTTTTATATATTTCTTAATCCATTATTATGTAAATTTATTGGGTTAGGGTAAAAGAAACAAATGTATTACGTAGTAATATTATTTCTCTCTTAAATTGATCTAGCATATTCTTATAAATTCCAAGCAATGCACTCCCCACTAGGATTAAAAGATAAAAATGCAGAAGAATCAGTAACGATCTATAAAAGCTCTTCTTCTACATTTTAAGAGTCAACTGGGTTGTCAACGCAAATTCACTAAGACTTTTAGTACAGTTCATTTAAGTGAAAGTGACTGACTCTCAGGTGCCAAGATAATTGGTTCTAGGAAGAATATAGTTTACCCTTAAGTAAAAAACAAAATGACCAGTTTATTGTACCTTTTTTAATTTTTAGCTTTCTGTGTCTCAATGACACATAGAAAACTGTCCAAAAAGTATTTTTCCGTGCACTTGAGCAAGTTTACTCCAGAAAGGTCCTGCCTGAGTCTCAGGCTAAGAAGACTGCAAAATTGGGGATTGTTGCCCAATCGCACTTCAAGATCCATTACTATTGTTTCCTCACACAATTATAGTTAAACAATATGTTTATTCATATTTCAAGAGGTTGGTCTTTTCTTCAACCACAACCAAATATGGTGGCCTCTTCCTGAAAAACATACCAAGATGCAAAGAAACCTTTTGGAACCTGAGATGCCAAAACCAGAAACACCCTGGAAGTTACACAGACACTTAAATTGCATACAACCTAAAAGAACACATTACTTAAACAATTTCTTCAACAAAACATTGTTTTGAACAAAATGAGGCGGTTTATTTAGAAAATAAAAAAAACTGAAAACGGGATTTTCTATGCATGCTTATCCCACTGGGTGGCCAGTGTTGTTGCACTTAACCAGCCCAGTCAAAATGTTTTCCAGTAGTAGGCAGGACAACCAGAGAAGCAGGTGGCAAGGACCTAAATTTGTCTTGTTTTTGTTTAACATTTTTAAACCTAAGTATTGTAGGCAGCAAATCTTTCACCGAAAGCAGCAAAATTGCTGGCTGCTCTCTCATTTTAACAGGGCTGTCTAACTGCAAATAAATACATCATACTGGCAGCATGTTTTACCTTTTAACAGCTGTTATAGTTTGTGAATTGGAAGAAATATTTCTAGAACTCCAAACTTGTTTACTTGTATCTAAAGTCATGTGTTCCTTAGTTTCTGTCATAGTTAATTAATCTATGTCACAGCTCCTTCGTTTTCAAGAGGCTACTGAGAAAAACTAAAACAAAAGGTTTGCCAAAATGGTGGCAAATTTGAACGTTTTCTTAAAATGTTTAAAAAATCACATTGTTCAAAACAAATATTTTTTGGAGAGGTCCTTGTAGTAATGTGTACTTTCAATTGAAAAAATAAAAATTTTTAGGCTATGGGCACTTTAAAATCATGTTATACCTATCACACTATCCAAGCGGCAGACATTTAATAGAAATTTGCATCAATTTTTAGATACATAGTCCTTTTCCTTTTTTCCTAATTGAAATAATTTTTGGCATTAGATTACCCAGTGGGGATTGACAGAAAGTATAAACAAAAAGTATAAACACCTTTGGGTACATGCAAGATAATAATATTATCTTGCATGTACCCAAAAGGTACTCAATGTGATAACAGCCAATTTAAATAATCAGCAAACTTTTTTCGTATTAAAAATTAGAGGGAACAACTGTTGATATCAAACATTTCAAATATATCTCTACATTATTAGAAAAACTGATTCACCAGAAGAGTTCTATCTACCTGCTAATCTGTATCGTAACTGCAGTATACTTTGTTCTTCCTTGATGATGAAGAAAGTGAATGCTTCCTACCAGGAGAGCTAGATGGAAAGTTAAAGCCATGAGAAGGATCATGTACTCTGCGATGTTGATCTAGAAAATTATCCCTCCTTGTACTAACACATGACCTTTGCTTTGAAGCTGGCACTAGCAAGCCTCTGAATTTCTCATCATAAGTGACTTCACAAGGCTTGCACTCACCATGACTGCAGTGTTCTGTGTTATTGACAGTATTCTGACTTTCAATGAGTCTCTGTTCAACTGGTTCACTTTTGCCCTCACAAGAGACACTTTGAAGTAGTTCCCCATCATCCTCATTGATTACAGAATGTTCATTTATTTTCTCAACCAACTGACGTGTCAATTTAACACTGGACTCTCTCCTGGCTGAATTTTTACTGACAACTTGCTTGACCTCCTGAGCCGGACCTTCTGAAAGAGCCGATATAAGGCCTGCATCTTGAGGGACTGTCAAGTTTTTTGACCGTTTAATTGAAACTAAAGATCGTCCGGATCTGGAGGATTTAGTAGACTTTTGAGAACATGTGGATCTTCCACTGGGTATCCTGGAATGACTCCTCAAATTTTTGCTAACAGACCTCTGAAGGTTTTTCAAACTAGATGGTGCAATAATCCAGGGGTGCTTTAATGCATCCTCTGCTGTCATACGCTTTGCAGGGTCCAGTACTAACAGGCTATCAATGAAGTCCTTTGCAAGATCAGACACATCCCTCCATGCCTACAAACAAGAAAGTTATACCATAAGAAACATACCAAATACTGCACTGAGTATGTAATTTGCTCTTCTCAGGCATTTATATATAGCACATTCAAAAGACTAGGTGGTCGAGAAACCAACAAACAAATCACAATTATTTTCAGAAAAACATCATTTAAACTAAATTCGACTTAGAGGTGACATGAAGGCTTTGTAATGATGGCACGTTGTATCGGTTGGAGTCATGGACTCAAGGAGCCCAGTATAGGATATAGTTGTCCACTAAAGGAGTTGCCAGCCTTTTTTACAACTTTGGGACATAAAAAATTAACAGCATGGATTGCAAAAACAAAGGAAAAGAAGCAAGAAATGATAACCTTAAAGCTGAACCGTGAGTTGATAAGATGATACTCTGTCAAACAAAATGAACTTTGCAGATGTGCTCAGGGGCCAATATACCAACCACATGGCCTAGTTGTGGTTTAAAAGAAACCAAACTAAGAAGTAACATGAATTAATCAACACTGTGATGCTAACTTGCACATGATGTTTACGTAACTGCTTTTCGAAATTTTAAAATAGGCCATTTCCGAGTTCCCCTGGGCCTTTGTATCAAAACGAGGTTAAGTGCTCAGCCTTTGATATGAAATGATTTTTCATTCTCTTGCAAATAAAACTCACTTTCACAGGAAAGGTTGTGCACTTGGACTCATTTTGAAAGTGAGGGTTTTTGGAACTCGGAAGTGGCTCATTAACCCGACTAGATTTTGTCCAGTATCTTTATGATATTAGTAATTTGCAACATGTAAATATGAATTAAATTCACGATTGAATTATAGTTGTTTTCTTTTTCTCCTTATTTTTTCTTCACGTGTCATACATTGTATAGCATTTTTAAGTTTGGTACACTGTAAATAAACTGTTAAAAAAAAAAGAAAGAAAGGGAGAACATCATGCATTATACTCTTAGTAGCGTAGTACATACAACAAACATAGGGATCACCCTGTGCGTCAAATGGTCTCTTACAAGAGGTTAAAAACAATGGAAATTTTTATCTCCCCAGATGTGGTTGCAGCTATTTATGAGAGGCGATCATTTACAAGAGGGTCCAACTATAATATTTGAGTGGGAAAATTTTGGTGCATTAGATGAATGGTTGATTATGGCAGTTATGGGATGTGGCCACACAAGAAGATTTGACTCTATGTTGTATAACAGGTAAGACTACATACGTATTTCAATGGAAAAGGTAAATACATTGTGTTAATGACAGAAGATACTCTTTTAAATATTCCTACAATAGATAACCCTCTCTTAATACTGTAAATCAAGGAAAATATTCAGCCCAAGGTCTAGGCCTTTCACTATGGTCCAACTGCTTTAAGAAGGACAAGGCAGAAATAACTGAAGAGGGCCATGAAAAAGGGTGACTAAACTTCGTTAAGTGACTTAGTGTTATTTACTTCTATTGACTCATAAAAATGTTTACCTTTGTGATTAAAGAAAAAATATTATTACTTGAATTAGGATTAAAATTGTAAATATATTAAATTAATCATCTGATATTAGCAAGAAAATTTTAATTGTATTTAATTTTCTTCAGGAAATCTTGGTCTAACTCATTTTATCCTAGATGTGTCCAGGTGCAACAACAACCACAAACTAATACAGTGCAAGCATTGAACTATTTATGATGAAAAAATAGTCCAATTTCAAATAAAAATTACAGCTGAAGACAAACATAACGGCACATTTGTATAGGGTTAACCTCAAGAGCCTGATTACATGAGCCGGGCTGGCTCGCTTTGCGGAGATCCTGGCACCTTCGTTAAATGCAACAAAAACCAGCTTTGCGATTATATGACAACCAAGCCAGCCCAGTTAGCTGGGATCCCTGTATTGTGATGCTAGGATCCCGCGTGGAAATTTTCCAGGTAATCACGCTTGTGGGGCAGCCCAGCGAATGAACCAAGCAAGAAACATGACAGCAGGTAACACACTGCTCATGCACATTGCTTTCGAGCTCGTGATCAGGCCCTTACTGTGATTTGTATTGTCGCGCAGTTTGCACATGAAAACTTTGGAATTTGCAGCTTTGTGGCTTGTGTATGAGGGACTATGACTTAATCTAATTAACCTTAGAGATTTAAAAATAGAACGCAGTTTGCAGGTGAAGATGTTCGACTCTGCCCCTATTCCAGTTCGACTGTGACAGAATACAACTTGTTTACGAGGTCATTTTGCTCAATAAGACTTTAAGAAATCACCTCCTTACCAAAAATTTGCAATGAAATTATGCATCATTCAATTAATTATCTCATGCACGAGATCATGGAATTATGCGCGTCGTCTTCTTTGGCGCTCGACAACTGAGAGCAAAAATATTGTCAAAATCTTGGCAATAAGCCAAACCATTCACACTGTGTGCAGCGAGGACAATTATTTTCTGAAGGGAAAATTTAAATTATTTAATACTTTGTTTCACTTAGTGTACCTTGTTTTTCCAAAAAGTTTGTTTTCTATTGCAATTTGTTTGCCGTGGGTTATCTGTGAGTCGTATGTGAAGACGGTAAATACTGTGTTGTGACATAGCGTGCATGGCAGACACTCGCATTGCTTGGCTTGTTTACTTGGATTGTTTACGTTCGCACATATTGCATACCTATTGCAACTTTGAATCAAAACAAGCAAACTCTATTAATCTATTTGGGCGATGCCCAAATAATAATCAACGTTTACTCAGACTGAAGCAGTAACCTTATTGTTTGCGCTAAAGGTTGTAGACGTGAAATCACCTTAGCAACCAAAGGCAGAGAGGATTGTGACCCTTTTTGCTGCCATTTGTTATGTACCCCATTTGCCCTTTCAAGGTGAAGGGGACAGCATTCACCTTGATCAAAATGAACTAACTGCAACTTTATGTTAATCTCCATTTCTTGTTAACATGACGCTTGATCTCCAACGTACTCATTAGAAAAAATGGGGGAATTGTATATAGGACAAGGGAAGATTTTTTATGTGCCATAACATGAAGGAAACAGTGTTCTTAGACATGTAACACTGAACTACAATACATGACACTTGTCACAGAATTGTTTATTGTATAAGGATTAGAGTGTAATTTGTCAAAACAAAAAATGTCACTAAAAATAGCTTTTGGTTTTCAGCCAAAATTTCAAAACTAACATTCAGCCCCGTTTTGAGGAAATTTAATCTTTGTTTGGTACATGAAAGGCTTTTAACTCCTATCAAAGTGTTGGGCACGAATTTATAGAAACTAAAGCCTGATCGTTTCATGGTCATTCAGCCGCTTGTGAAGAAATGGTCCACTGCCACTATAAGGTATTTGACAGCAAATCACAACAAATGATTACGAATAACTGTTAAGAAAACAATGCCGCGGTATATGCGTTGGGATAAACGTCAACAAAAACACCTTTTGATCACTAGAAATTTCTGAGGAATGCTGTCCCGACTATGAGCCCACCCAAATAAGATAAACCCGCCGCTTCAAGATCATACAGTGCGCAGAGCGTAGACGTCCAAGAATAACATTTACGACTAGCGGCGATGGCTTATCTATCAAAGCCCAGCACAAAGGGGTGATACCCCAAAAATAATGACAGGAAATTTCGTACTGTTTTACTATACACAACATCCGACCATGACAATCATTAGTCAAGGGTTTCAAACTCAAACTACGTCAGTGATCATGTGTATTGTTATAACTGATTGTTAAAATGAATTGATTCTTTCCCCTCCGATGTTGCCAAAGAAACTAGTTGTTATAAAATGATTCGTCCCTTGGAGAAAGGACAAGACCGAACATTCCAGACCGTAATGAGTCAAACAATGAAGTTCGCACCTTGAACACAGACAATAGTTTTCTATTTTTTCCTCCTTGAATCACCATAGATTTGATATACAAATTTGCAAACGAAGAGCTTAGTAGATAATTTGCCTTCTTCAATAAAACCATTATGTGATGAAAGTGATCTCATTCGAGGAAGGTTAAGTAGGTCGATCTTCCGCAATTATTTTAGCTATGTAACGAAAGAGAAAACGTTCCTGTACAGGCGCCCTAGATAATACCGATTTTCTTAGGTCGAGAAACAGTCGCACACCATGAAAGTTTCTTGGAACAAGCAGTGCTTACAATATAACGCAAAAAATTCATTTAAGTTTTTCTCTTAATAAACAAAATATATGCGAATACTTGCACTCGGAATGTAACTGATAGGCATCTTCATTTTGCCGTCGACATTTCCAAACATGCGTTAACTGATACCGTCGAGTCTCGACTGAGCAAATTCTCACGATATTCCTCTTGCTGAGTTTTCGTATTCCACAAAAAATAAAGTAGTAAAGAGTATAATCAATTAATATGATTACATCCGAGCTGGCTAGTCCCGCAAAGTGAATCGTCGAAGTTTCGTTAACAGACAAATATAAACATATAACTTTGGGTAAGTTGGTCTAAGTTAACTCACCTCGCCGCTATAGCTATATCTCGCATCCAAAATAGCCTTGTACAATCTCCTTCGGTTTTCATCCGCAAATGGCATTTGTCCGCTAAGAAGTACGTGTGTGATAACACCAATTGACCACATGTCCACCGCGTTTGTGTACGGTTGTCTCAAGAGAATCTCGGGGGCGATATATTCCGGCGTTCCACAAGTTGTATCCATTGTCTCGTTCTTTGCATTCTGCCGGGTTTTCGATAACCCAAAATCTGTTATCAAAATTCTAGAGTCGGGACCTGGGTGATAGTACAATAAGTTCTCCGGTTTGAGGTCTCGGTGAGTTATGCCGAGCGAGTGAAGATAGCGGACTCCTTCAAGCACCATGCACAGCACCTCAGTGGCATCTTTCTCCGTAAAGGAACCTCTCGAGACTATTCGTTCAAACAGTTCGCCTCCGGTCGCTAGCTCCATTACTAAATAAACCCTTTCTGCACACTGAAAGACTTCAAACAACTTGACGATATACTTATGGTTTACTTTACGCAAGACAGCCACTTCGGATTCCAGCGTGTCTTTTCCCCCTTCTATTTTGATCATCTTTAGCGCATAGGGTTCTTTTGTAACTTTATGTTCCACTCGAACAACCCGACTAAAAGATCCCCTGCCAATGAGGGCCTTGATGTCATAATTTTCGGTCACGATAGGATCAAATCTGAATCTCCCTTGAATAACACGACCTTTCTTGGGTTTCTTCTCCGCGTTTTTACCTACTTCATTGTTCACTCTTGGAGGAGGGCAAAATTCACGTGACGGAACATCGTATAATTTACTCGTCTTTGTGTGCTCCTCGTCCTCCGGTAACTTTTTGGTATTGTTGCAACCCATTGTAACTCCAGAATTCCTCGAAAACAATCACTGCTCCTCTGTTTAAGGATCATAAACATTGCGGGACGACATCTGGGAGAGTGTTCACTCACGAATACTACACATGAATGAAACCTTACCCTGCACTTGTCCGAAGTTCTGTCTGACTACTGAACTTGTCGGGTCGGTTACATGTGCGTGACGTCAACCGTGCCCAATCAAATTCACCGAACAATGTCAGTTCGACCAATCACATTTTTGTTAAAGAATTTCATCGATTTCTTTTTGTACATTGTTCGAAAATTTTTTGAGAAGGTTGTTGACAGAATGCTGTAAGATGGACGTTCACGGCGAATAGGAGAGCTGTACGAAAACAAAGATCTTGTGAAGACCTCACACAGTGATAAAAGCTTGCTATGGTAAAATAAAGTTTGCGTAATGAACCCAAAGTCACAAACTCCGGTAGCGTTTGCTCCTAGATCTTCAGGATTTGTTGTTTGATCTGGTTACGTATGTCAGAATTTGATAAAGTCCTGGCCCTATGTTTGGCATCTTAAAAAGAATTACTTGGCTGACACTCTTTGCCTTTGATTTGCCGACGCGCTCTTTACGAGGTCGTCTGCTGGCCAACCGCATATGTTTTGTTTTGCCATGTTTGTTTTGACGGTCTGTTTCACGTGATGGGGGCAAAATGCACTATTTCCTGATTACTATACATGTCGCTGTACTCTGTTACACGGCCGGATGCGAGGAGTTTTGATAGTGGAAATCCTTGGCGGGAAAATTTCACAGCTACTCAAAGACTGTAGCCGACCAAACTCACTGGAAATATGTTAAGGGTTAACATGTTTCACTGTGACTTCTAGGTTAGGTATCAAGGCCCATACCCCGCGCCCCGCCCTCAGGCGAAGATATCCCGGTGCTTGAATTGTCCTTCTGATCTGCAAATATCAATTGTTCATTGCCAAATAACAACTTTGTCAGTCGTGGTCCTCATCCGATTTTTACCGAAAAAGCCCTCTGGCACTTAGTTCAGGAAAAGTGATATGTTCACATAAGACAACTCACACTTACTTTCATTCAAAATCACTTGACCAAAAAGGTAATATACTTGATAAAAGCCCTTTTGGAACCAAGGTAAATTAAAGTGAATTGTATCACGAAGATGTTTTTTTTTTTAATTGCTGATTTATAGTAGAGGGAGTTTATTACATTGCTGCACGACATTGGCATTTTTTTGCAATTTATTTAAATCAAATATTTCCGGTTTATTTCCTTTGGCGTTTTAAAAACATTTAGCCAGTACTCATCTGAAACTTACGGTACGAAAATCATTCAACAGCAATTACGCTCCCAGTAGAACGGTAGATGCCTATTAAAGGATTTTTTATAGCGTTTAAACCCGTCGTTTCTAAAGCAACAAGACTATTCACCTATGAAACAAGTCGCCAAAACTAAGCTTGGTGGCCCGGCGGAGGGCTACTCAATAAAGATTTATACGGGGAATTTCAACCTTAAGGAAAAGGTACCCCTTTCATATACCTGCCTTTGAAAAAATGGTACCTTTTAACATACCTACTTAATGAAAAAAAATCGCTAAAACAGGAAGTCTTTAATAAATGAAAATGATAAAGCCATAAGGGGCATCTTTTGAAAACATCATTTTCATTTGAGGCTGTTTTAAACACTCAAATCATAGATTTTCGTATCCTTTCGTGTACTCGTGAATTCCTTTCCTGTTGCCCAGAACCTTAGGGCGGAGCCTCCCCATATAAGGCCATTATAGACTGGAGTTTCCCCCGGTCAGGTAACTGTAGATTTCTTTTTTTTTAACTGATATGTGTACGTAACCCCTCGTGTGGGAAAAGACGACTCGCGTAGTAAACAAACCTGTTGCTTTTATTTAAGTGGCCCCGGCCGTCAATGTGCGGACGAATCCGACGTCAGTTAAATTTTACTATAATTTGCATGATTTTAACTAAACACTGTGAGATCAGGAGTTGAGCATGTGTTTTAATTGTTAAAGACAAGCCCCTACAGATAAAATCCGGAGAAAATGCTATGCTATTACCCTTACGTAACAGACAGATGAATTACACAAACTCATTTAGAATGAATCTAGAGGAACTATCTCATGGTGTATGAACTGGTGGCAATCAGCTCAAATAGTTGGAGATTTTCGGCATGTACCCGACTTCATAGGCACGTTTTTTTTGACCGAGTATGGAACAGTTCATCAAGAGAGATCTCACTTGTCATTTCCTCTGGGCATACGTCCAGAGAATCCCAACCACAGTTTAGGATTAACACTAGAAAAAAAAACTTAAGGTGTCTGGAAAAGTCAAACATCTTTGTGCCCTAATTGATCACGCGCGTGTCTGAGTAGAATGCTTTCAAACTGATCGCGGCGTAATCTCATTCAGCTGAAGTATTTGTCGTGTTCGTGGAGCAGACGTTTATAACGAAAAACAAACAGAGCCACATGAAACTACTTCACCGTATGTATGGCTTTCATGGGAAGGTTCCAAAGATATATTAACAACACAAGTGATTCTTATCTTCTGGCCTATTTTTAGTTATGTGGGTTTTTTTATCCGATCACGCATGAGGTAAGGGGAGGCTAAGACCACACTGAAGCCGAATTTAAAAAAAAAAAACATTTACGACACTGATTTTATCGCGTGGATGTTATTTACTCTACAACGTAACGAAAGCACGAAAACAAAAAGTAAGAGGGCAAGACCCAATCTCTCATGGAATGAGATATTCATTCTTAAGCGCCCAATTGTTTCTGATGTTAATTATTATTATTCCATATTACGAGCTTTTAACAATATTTATTTACATAAGGTATTTGAAGGTTTGGTTTTCATATTATAGAAGAGAAAGATTTTCTTCCTCTTCTAGACGTGTTTGAATGTGCACCAATGTATAGGGCGGGGCTCTTCTTGCCACTACATGCGGCGTCGGTGAATTGGGCTAGGAAGATCGCCCACCCTATATTGTAACGAGGCCCTGTACACGGAATGGGAAAATTTGCCTTAAAATCTTCTTTATTTAGGTGTCAATGTATTTAGCACTCCCGGGCCCCTCCCCTGGATCCGCCGCTGCAAATTGAGGATACTGTTTTACTGGACGGCCTTTCTTTTACTTGGACGTCCTAGCCAAGTGAAGGTCTAGCCACCCGAAGGGCAAAAGCGTGAACCAAAAAATATAACAATTATCTTGAAAAAAACTTTGTAGGGGTACAGTATAATAGGCAGTTACCACACCAAAGTAAAGTACTGATGCCTTCACTTGAACACAGGGTCAAAACCAAGATCATTCTCTCTTGGTCAAAACTGAATACAGAACATAAAGAAAAGTGTCCGAATCAAACGGTGAATTTCAAGTGGAATGCCGCCACTTGCAATCCAGTTCATTAGTTTTGTTCAGTGATAAGGGTATGCAAGATCATCAAAAAAGGACAATCAGCAAAATTGGCGGAGAACTGATTCACACGACGTTTTTTATGATGTCACGCTTCCGACAGAGTTAATAGTACGGCTCAAAACTATAACAACTATAAGTAATCCATGTTTTTTTTTCTATTCTTATTAATCCATCATTTTTTTTCTTGTTTGTGATGTGAAACGGGACGAGGGTCATTATTGTGCGGAGCTACGTACGTGCTCGGTCTTGGACTGCAACACTTAAAAAGGCATAGGTCAGTCAATTGTCAGCCTTCTTTGATGGTGAGTCGTGTTCATATGAGCCTTGCCACTTTGGACGTCTTAACATTCAAAATAGCCCAAAACCTCAATTTTCTTCGAGAGAAAGAATAATACATACCAAAACAAAATAGGAAAGAATCGCGTTTTTCTGAGCTGTTTTTACTTATCTGAAAATCAACAGCGCTCCATTGTAAGAAATGCAAACAAAAGACAGGTTAGTGAGAGGTGAAAAATAGTATATAATTAGTGCAACCAGGAGACCGTGATGCACCTTAGCAAACTAGGTACTCATACAAGAATACTGGTCTGAATATACTTTTATCCACGCTCAATTTTCAGTGTTGTTGGCAAAAGCAGGGCTAAAGTAGAATGTTAACCTAATTTGTTGTCCTGTTCGCCTTCGAGCCAAGCCAGCTAACGGAATGCAGGCAAAAACTTACATGTAATCATGTTCCGATAATCCTTGCGAAAAACTGTAAAAAGAGAACATTTATTTAGAACAGAATTTAAAAGCTACAGTAAGCCGTTTACTCCTCAGTGAACTGACAGTTTAAGATGGCTAACAATCTTCACATGTCACTGATTTCTTGGCTGAACCCTCCACAGCGTTCCTAGCGGGTCAAGACCCCTTTTTTGCGACAATGGTACGAAGGTCTGTGATGTGCAAGACACTCAGTAATTTAGGATAAGCAGCTTTTCTATTTACAACAAACAAAGCTGCGTTATTGATCCTTTTCTTAAAAGACATCTATCACGGGAGTCATTGTTCTTCAACTATATACCTTTCGTTTATGTAGTTGAAATTTTTCCCTCCCTGTTACGTGTAGAAGTGCTGTATGCCCTACGCCGATCTCTCCGGATCGGTCTAATCAGTGAATATCAAATCCGGGCTAGTTTCTGGAGCACTGCCATTGCTGTTTATCCCGCCGGTGGTCTGAGCCCGTAGATGAGTAAATTGTTTATTTGGAGAAACAAAGAACTTATTTTATTGACAGCTTAAAAATCAAATAATCCATTGGCAAGGACAAAAATTAAATTGCCATTGGCAAGGACACTCTTGGCTTCCTTCGGCAACGTTTTGGCAGACACCTCATTTTCCAAGTGCACCTTCACCTATCCTCCCCGTGCCTGGCGGCACATAGAGCTTTCACGGAGATTCTCCATCTTTTTCAGTTGGCTGCTAGAACTCACACCTCCCCTCCACGTTCCTCCTCCATGTAGTTTTGGGTCTTCCACTTCGTCTCTTTTCCTTTGGCGCCTAGGTCATTGCTACATTGCAATTACTGTCTCGTTCTTGTCTCAGGATATCATGAGCCAATTATTTTCCATCGTCTTGACCAAATTTCATCATTCAGAAGCTTCATTCTGGCTCTTTCTAGCTTCCACAGCTGGCGGTCAGTTTTTTGTGTGTGCAGGGTGGTGTTTTCGTTTGTGGTTCAAAGTGAGAGCTTCAGCCGCGCGAAAGGTGAACCGAGGTCAAACGAGAAGGGGGGCAAGAGAAGGCTTTTCTCGATTGACCTCGCGCGCGAGTGTCTCGAACACACAAAAAATTTACCAAAACTCCACCAGCCACGCAAGCTAGGCTCTCTCCACTAACCCCTCAATTCTCAGCGTTTCCTAGTTCAAGTAAAGGGAGAGTTTGAGGAAGGAACGAGAGCCCCTGCCTTCCGCTAGCCCCACTTTTATTTATACACATTCTCGGAAATGTGTCGGTTCAGAGCGGCTTCCGAAAAGGGACTAACCAGATCTTTCGTATTAAATCATCGTGTTTGTTTGTTTCAGTCGGGTTTAACCTCCGTTCTACCGGATCGTTTAGTGCGGCTGCGAGATTGAAACTCATGTTCACTCCTTATTTGGCCTAAACGAGTATCTGCTTCCAACAACGTAGTACAATTTCACTATTTAACGTCTTACAGCGTGTCTTTTTAGTACTGGACGTCTTGAACAGGGTGGGAACGTTTTTTCATCTAATTCTATGATGTCAGTTTTCATGATCTATGTGAAATAAAAAACCAGGCAAACAAAACAAGTGGAACACACGATCTATGTTCTTTAGCAGGAAACTGTTAATGAGTAACACGAAAAAAAGGCCTCTTAAACAAACAGGGTGGCGAAATAAACATATCAAAACAAGGGTCACGGTTTTAAAATTCTCAGCAACACCCTCAGCCCAATTTTCTTTTAACTGTTCCCCGGGAGCGTTTTCAGTGCAGTGAGCTTTTAAACACTCAAGCTCACTAATGAGATCGAGAAGCGGCAACACGTCAAAGTTGTGTGTGCAACAGCCTTAAACGCAGTGAAAATAAACTGTACAGTCAATATGGGGCGTGTAACACCGATAACTGATTGATTCATTTTGGTTTCTCTTTGCTCGAATGTAAATGCTAAGAAGCCGGTAGACTGCAAAACAGTCGGGTTTTTTTTTCTCTCCCCAGTTTCAGCCTCGCTCCAGACCTTTGGTCGTACTGTTTGCACGTAAATACGGACTGTTTTGCCGTCTAAAAGGCCGGCGTATGGTCTATTTCAAAACCGTGACCCTTGTTTGATTGCGTTTGGTCGCGTGTCGTCTAAGATATCCTTCCTGCGGACATTCAATCCACCCACGCTTTTCGATTATTCCCTTATAGCCATCACGTCTTCATGTATAACGACTTGTACACATACACATAAGTGGGGTGGCCGAGTCAAAGCTACCCCCGTCCCGTCCTGTCAAAAACAGGAAAGAGAGTACATAAACAAAGATTCGTGCTTAACATGCTAATACTGTCCGCAATGCAACAGCTTGCGTCATCTTCATCAACAAGGCGACGTTTATGCCTCACGTGTTGAAAATTTGCCCAAAAAGACTCCCTTTTCTATTTTCTTCCTCTCGTATTAAAGGTGGGAGCATCTTCGTCAGGTTGAAGCCACGTTACCGGAGAAACTGAAAAGTTTGATACGCAGAACCAGACGCGTCAGATGTTCCACTTAAAACCAAAAACAATCTTCCAAATTTTTCAAACTTTTATGGCGAGAATCAGACATGAAGACTGCGCTGTACAACTCAAGACCTTGACGAAGACGAAATATATTTTACTCCCAAAAATGGGCAATTTGCCATCTGCACATCTCCGATCATTACATAATACACCTTGTTTCACCCCCATCCACCCTTCTCATTCGTTACTTTTTTAACCAAACATGCGTGTCATTATCGGGAACTGTCATTTCCTATTAAGTATCATGATGGAATCAGTGATAAAAGTGGAGGCGAGGTTCCTACGTACTGAGCAATTTACACAAACTTGTCACTTCCAAAAAGTAAGGTTGGCGTCTCGTGCAAATGCGAAACGGTTCCCTTCTATTAAAAATGTTATTGCTCCTGGGTGGCGCCTGCTTATGGGTGCTCATCATTATTAATTTCACCGGAATACAAATTTTCTTTAAGCAGAAAAACTTTCACGCCCTCAAAGAAAGCAAGAAAAGGGTAATAGTCCTTTCAGAGTTGCCAGGCGCCATACTGTCGGGATTTGGAAAGGGAGAAGAGAGTATTTCCTTTTTTAATATCAAATGGATTTCTGATGCAGAGAAAGTACATTAATTTTGTAATAGGAAGTCTACGGTGCTACGTTAAAGTCCCGGCTTTCACATACAGGGGAATCCATATTCTCGAACCCCCTATTTTTCAAACCAATAATTTGAACTTTGATTTTTCGGGAATAAGATCAAAAGCGACCCATCATCCACAGAGTGTCTTCTTCTCATCATTGCCAAATCGTCGCAGTTGCTAGCCATTTCTGTTTTTTTTCTTTGTCTGAACGCTTTAATACCAATAACAGAATGCCAAGAAGCTGAGGCGTCAAAAACCTTACCCTAATAAAATATAAAACGGAAACCTTTTAAGGAAAGAAGTAATACCTTTTGTTGTTGCTTTATAAATTCCTTTTCCTGAAGTACAATTGTAAATATTACGAAAGCCAGGAAAGAAGGTTGAGCTGCAAGGGAACGTGCGACACATTTTACATCTGAATCATGAACACTCAAACGGAAAGATTTTAAAAAGACAATGTGATCGTGTGTTTACAGGAACAAATCCCACGGTAGAAAGACATACATGTATTAAACCAGGAGCCGATTACCTGGAGTTTACTTCGGAAAGCACGCGAACGATCTCAGTTTTTTAAGGAAAAAAAAAACAACAACAACAACATCATAGTCACTTCCAGAACCGGAAAGCGACGAGAACCGAAGTTTTTTATGTGATGGCAGAAATTAAAAAAAAAAAAAAGCAATATTCAGAAACAGTATCATATGACCATATTTTTTTTCTCCGCAGAACGCTACATAACATTTAAGAGAGGAAAATACAAACAAGCCAACACTAGCCTGTGAACAGGCTCTCTGTTTGGGGAAAGGGTGGAAAAATCGCGAGGAGAGGTAAAGATGTTCACAGGTCAAGCCAACACCAGAGGCCAATTGCCTACAGTGGCCATGTTTGGGAGTTTTTAGCTCCCTATTCGCCAAGACGTAGAAAAGATAGTAACATTCAGCTACTAGAGGTCTTAGGTCTTCAAGAAATACGGCAGACAACCTGCTGCAAAAATGTGTACCAAAACGATGATCCTGAAACTGTCAACACCTTCAGTGGTAAGTAATATAAAGCTAATAAAGAAGTTAGATGAAACCGCAAGAAAAACAAACACACAGAGTTAAGGGCCTAGCGGATGTCTCATGACACTTTGTTTTAATTCCATACTACTGCTTTCAATTACGTATTGACTACAAGCAAGCCCTCTGGGCGTAGGGGGACAGAAAAAATTTTAATCTCACCTGTCCTAGAATTCTACAGAGAGCTTGCTCCCAGGCTAGATTACTTGTTGTTGTTCTACAATTCAACTTGCAACGCTTTAATGCCAACTACGCACAGTTGGCTGAGCGTTCTTAAACATTTGTTGATCAACAAACGCCGAACGATGTTGTTGTTTAAAACATGTTGTAACTTGTTGAACGCAACAGAGCCTGTCTTCATTCTCGTTCAACATGTTGCTGTATTAACATTCCAAGTGACATTACACAAGAGCAAACGGCAACCTTCATTGATCAGCAATTATTGATTTTAAAAATGTCTTGCATGCTCGTTCTCTCCTATATTTTACCTACGGGCACCTCATGCAATAAACCTCTCTCAGTCGTTGACCGGAAACGTTTGTTCAAAAGCAGAGAGATTCATCTCTACCTTTATCTCTGCCAAAGGCAGTTTCTACGCAATGACAAACCCACACAATGAGAATCTGTTAACGAAAGTGATCTGTCCTTCGTTTTCTCACGGTCCCAATTTCCCATGACTACTGTTTACCAATTAAAGAAACCTTTCAGGACGAAAATGTTTGAGCACGTATACTACCCGCAAGTCACGAATGTAAATGTTTGAACTTGCCGGCTTCGTGAGAATTCAAGGTTGAATAATATCAAATTTTGTTCAATTCTCTATGTTCGTTCCTTGCAGAAGCGTGCAAACTCAGTGTGACCCATCCGCTTTAACCTTTCCGCGCCTTAAAGAGATCGTCATCGATCGGGTGGCCAGTTTCCTGATGTAAACACGTAGCCGGAAAATTCCGAATTCCAACCGTAAGTATGGCAGCTTAAGATCATGAAAGGGGTCATTTTGTAGACCAATTACTCTGCTTTAGACCATCCTTTGTTTTCGTTCCTGCTTGTGGAGGCTGAAATAACTGATTTTCAGAGCAGAATTTTCCATTCTTCGTGGGTGTTTCTCCTTTACAGCTTCTTTAGTGCTGTCATCAGAAGATCGGTCACGATTTCCGGTTACTTGGCTTATTGTATGGTTTATTTCCGTGAAGTTTTAAGTTATCCGCAAAACATGAGGTAGCCTGACAAAACAATAAAATAAATAAATAGATTCCACAATAACTTTGTAGATAAATTCTTTTCTCTCCCCATTTTATTAAAGACGGCTTCAGCCCAATGTAATAAGGTTTATGAAAATGCGGTACTTTTAAACGTCAGTATCGTACGAGGTGGAATCTTTACTGACCGCCCACACTATACATTCACAGTGATTTCAGAACTACGAACATTCGCACAGACTCAAAATAAAGGCACAAACGTAGTTCAAATGAACATTTATGAGTTATACATGGTCATTCGTTAGCGTGCACGTAGTATGAAATTAAAAGTGGCAATTTTTTCAAAAAGAAATTGGCAAACTTTCAAATCGGCAAAACATTCTTACGGAAAAAAAATAAACCGACAAAACAAACAAAAAGATAAGCATGATGTGGCACGCCGAAGAATATGGTTCTTTGAGCCACCGTTTCACGCAGGGACAACGCGTTTTTTTCTTTCGGACAGAAAAAAAGGAAACTTCATGAAAAAGAAAAACTTGGGGATAAAACAAGAAAGTGGAAACCAAATGCAGAACAAGAGCCGTGCAATTTTAATCAAAGTGAACCTCTCATGTCAACAGTCTAATAAAACATTTTCAAAATAGCTCGCCGAAAATCAAAGTCGGCTAGAACGGGTTAACAAGATTAAGACGAAGAGAGGACGAGCATTTGTTGGGCGCAGGCATCATCGGGAATAAATACCTGTGTGATAGTCACCCTTTAATAACGGGGGCTATAATGCCGTTATTTCCTATTTTTATTAAAACTTTTTCCTCATCTCTCCCCTGACATTCTGCTCTCTATTATCGTTTTCTTAAATACGTCAACCTTTGCCGACTCTTTTTGTAAGTCGCCAAGTGAATTTTGAGGTTCTCGTTGAATGTGAGTTCGTGAAGCAAAAATATTTCGAGCCCTACTTCTTTGTACAAAAAGGGTGCCAGGTTTGTTTGCTAACTCTCTTTGAGAGTACCTTTCGTGTTCATGAGGACACATTTGTAATATCTTTTCCATCTAGTCCTCTTCGAACCCCAGACAAATTCTTCAATTTCGATTGGTTAATGAGAAAGCCTTCAGAAGGGACAATGGGCAGTTGTTCCTTTACAAATGATATACCATATGTGGTCTTATAGTTTCCAATTTCGACAAATCTCGCATATTCATGAGAAAAAGCGGTCAACTAATAGCAAAAAGTCAATCCAGGTAAACCACCGATGTTTGAGCTTGCCAAAAAAAAAAAAACAGACTAACAAATGCCAGGATTTAAAAATAGCCAGGTTAAATAGATTTATTTATAAGCGTTAAAGTATGGAATTACATGTAATTGGGTTTGCCTGCATGTTCAGACCTTGGCAGAACGTATATCCAAGGTAGAGGTTACAATCTCCTGTTTTAGCACCTTTTGATACATTAGGTAATTAGATGTCGTATGTTAGTAAGTGGGTTAACACGATGCATTGATAGATACGCGCGGCAAGGTCAGTAAATCCAAGGTAAACGTCAAACTTCCCTTTATTAGTGACAGCCGACTTAATTTTTTTTCTTGAGAGTTGTCTGTCGAGTTCCATAGACTTCACAGTTGGTTTGGCTATTTAACAATTATTCCACGAGTGCGCGTTGGATATAAGATGGTAGATAGCCAACGAGGCGCGTTTAATAAAAACGCCCACAAAATATCGAGAATTCTTCCCGACTTAATTCGATTTTCGGGTATAATGGCTCTTAGAAAATCCAACTAATGGTCTATTGTCAATGCTGCGTTCTGATTGGTTGAGCTACTACTAGTCTATAAGTTATAGCCCACAAGTAGCGAAAAGTAAGCTTTGAAAACCAAAACAATGGCGGCTGAATCGCGTTTTGCTAGCTAAAGTTGTTTTGTCTCGATATTTCGGTGAAATAAGAAAGCCAGTGAAACCTCTATTAAGCGGAGCCCCAATTAAGCGAACACTAAGCCGGGTCCCGAAATTAACGTCTTATATTTCCCTTTATGACGAAGCCCTATTTAGCGGACACCTCTATTAAGCAGACGCGGACGCTAAAATAAATTGTATTTGGTTAATTTCTACTGTTTAAAACCTGTGTTAAGCGGACACCGGACTGAATCGACATAGTAGTTTTGGATTACGTCCTTGAAATACGTACTGTAGTCGATTATAAAGATAAATCAATACATTTAGCTCTCGATATCCGGCCGTATGATTGTCATCCGCATATCCGCTATCAAAGTTCACCTAAAAGTATCGCACAAAGTACAGCACAGCTTTCTAAGCTTCCTTAACAAAATAAAACTTTATCACAGCACAGAGTAACCGTTGAATGTTAACCGTTAACAAAAATTGCGCAATCTGTACAAAGTTCTATTAAGCGGACGCCCTCTGTCAAGCGGACACTTGGGAAGGTCCCGAAGGTGTCCGCTTATTAGAGGTTTCACTGTAGTTGGATTTCAATAAAACAATTATTCCTTTCGGCCTCATGAGCTATTGACTCAGAGCCCATTCGGGGTCGAGGAATAATTGTTAAATATACCATGATGGCTAAGCCTATCAGAGCTCTAGAACTGCATTATCGAATGATTCAGTTTGTAATAATATAAAATATGTTTAAAGGAGAGAATAATACGCTTGGCAAATAGTACCAATGTTACGTTAAACTTAGTATACTTCCTAATAAAATGCACAGAATATTCACAACATCTGTACAACGCATGACACAGTGACAGTAGTGTGTATGTTTGATGAGGAAGGTGAATAGGGGTATACAAATCCGCCGAGCCGTTATGATTTATTAACCAAATCCGCCCTTCCATTTTCGCCGAGAGTCCGAAATCCGGGCAAAAATATATCAATTACACGTAAAGTCCAAAATCCGCGCCCAAAAAAAAGATGAATCTGCAATCCGCTGCAATTGCAGGATCTGGAATCCGTTAAAATATCGCTTTGAATCCGAAATCCGGGCAAAAATATTTTCAAAATTCGCCGATCCGTTCGCCTATTCACCCCCTTCTTTGATAGGTATTTAGCATTTTCGATACTCTTAAGAGCGTCCTCGAGGAGATACGAAAACATTAACAAAATGGTAAAAGTTCTAATTAAGTCCTCTTAAATCTGGGAAGCAGATGATATCTCTTGACATCCTTTCCTTACCAGTCAATACTGGTCTATACGGTTGGAAAAAAACATAAACATTCTATCGATGATAGTGAAAGCTCCATCGAACACTAAGGTACCTTTTAACTTTATATCAACAGCGTTAAAAGCTACGTAAACTTTGGATCAGGGAAAAGATTCAATCAGTCCTGTGTTTCCGGATTTTGAGTACAGAGACTCTCTCCCTTTCCACTTGCCGCCACCACAAAAACGGAAATACTGTAAAACGTTATCAATATCTTTACTATTTCATTCACACTGAGTTAAAATTAGCTTCCTTTATCGATAATTTCAGCAAATTTTAAATTTTTGAAATTTTGTTATTTAACTTAAGCGGCAAAATATTGGTCCTGTCATTAGTGGAAAAGACACTGATTCTCAGCAACCACGAACAAAGAGGAAACAATACAGTAGAGCAACGTTAATAGAAAGTCGCCGTATTAAAGCGAGTCTCCTTAAATCTCGTCAAAACATTTACTTTTCCTTATATTGGAACAAAACACCAAACAATAAAACGGAGTATAAGTATCAACAAGCTAAACCGCGTCTCTAGGTTTGTTGGAGAACACATAAAAGTCGATCATCATTAACACACTACTTAATATATACAGAACTCGGGGAAACACCTGTTCCAAAATAAAGTCAGGATGGTGACATCTCTCCAACTGACTGACTCCCAACAGTGCTCTCATACGGGAGGAAAAATTAATATTTGGGTGCTGTTCAAGATCAGTCTTTCTTTTTGTCTGACCGGGAGGCTCCAAAAATGAAACTTTCTTCCTCGTCACTGTACATTTTATGAAAACAGAAATTGTACTTTGATGGTTGAAAACATAGTTTTGTAGTACCTCGGTTTGCTTAAGAGCGCTTTTAACTTTTTCACTGCTGTTCCGGTTGTTGTTCTTGGTCCTTAAATTTTGTCACCTTTTCGAAGGAGACTGCTATTGGTCAGGGGCCCAGTCATGGGCTCCTGTATTGGTCAAGACTTCTATCATTTTTCAGTACCGGCAAGCAAACGCACTGGCATTAGACTGAAGTCGCAATTCTTCAAACTGCACTCGCCTGCGGTTCCAGCAGTATTTGTATAATTTTTGGTCCATTCTACCGCCCGCGAGGGAATTTATTTTGTAGTAATTCACTCACATGAAATTCTCACAGAAATAAAACACAACTTTCCAGTTTGTTAAGGCACGTGACTTTCAAACGGAGTGCAGGGCATCAAGGGACTCTGTGTTCGTCCGAATAAATGAAAAAAATTTTCTTTATAATTCAAATTTAACTAGAGAAAACGGGACAAAGGCAAACATAGTAAATTTAAGTTGGGTAAATTATTTCAGGTTAAAATTTTTCATATTTCATTGATATTCGTTCAAAATATTCCGCCGTTCCTGATTAGCTCAAATCGCCCGATTTTATTCGACTCAACGGTGTATTGCACAAGCAGCCTCGTTTGCAGGCAAATATCATATTGATCTACCTCGTTTCCGGGATCGGAGTCCTGGATGTTTAATCACGAGTAAACAAAAAATGGCGTTCACGAATATTCGAAGACGAAATAGCTGAACTTCTGACTAAAACTGAACGGAAGAAATGAAAGAATACACAAAATATTTTGCTCGATGCATGTTACCTACTTCTTTATTTACATCCTGAAACCATGCCAAGAAGTAGGCTTTGGCCTCATTGGACAACATTCTCCTCGATCTGCATAATTCTTCATACTTAGCCTCATTCAATACTGAATTGTTGTTAATTATAGCATGCTTTCAACTCTGCTAATCCTAGCAGTTACAGTACACCTGGTTTGAAATTAAGTGGCCACGCGTGTTATGCGTTCTTTTGAAGCACTTTGGCAGAGCACCCTAACCGCAACCGATCGAACATAAGTTGGAATCCGCTAGGACATTCGGAACTTCCTCTCTGAACCACTTTGACGAAATAAAGAACACCTTCTTGGTATGAAAAATGTTTTAAACAAAGTTTTTAAAGCATAGAAAAGACAAAAAAAATAAAAAAGTGACCAAGTGATAGACAAATCAGGCCTGGGAATACACGGTAAAACACCACCCATACTTTGATGCAGTCGGTAGCGCACACGGAAATGTGGTCAAGCCTCCTCGGAAATGTTCTTTACTCATTGACAGCCGAAGTCTGTCGAAATATATACCGTACTTTTATCTTTGGGGATTCAAGTTAATTAGGAATCAAAAAACCAAAATGCCTAAAACACCTTAATTAGAGAAGGATTGACGCTCATCGGGGATTAAAAATAAATCCACGATTATATTTACCATGCTATTGATTGTTTAGAGTATCGTTATGGTTTAACAAATCCTATCCCAGTTACATGTCCCTGGTCAAGAGAACTTTCCTTAAAATTTGGCTTAACCCTGGGTTGAACTTAACCGTCTTTCGAGGAACCATGCTATGAGCTTAACCTTAAGGCGACCTCCCTGCTTGCGTCATAACCATAGAACTTTTTGATCAATGAATGATACGTTGCACTAAAGCTTGTACAAACAAAGCGTTCAATTTGAACTATTTTTCTAGTTTTAATTCTTCTCTCTTTTTTTTTTTTTTGCGATGGGGAAAGTTAGCTTAGGTTTGGTTTTTGTTTCTTGTTACTGCTTGCTAACTTGGGTGTGTCTAAAGCGGCCGTTACATAACATCCAGTTATATAACGCCATGAACGCTGCTGATATGCAGACAAAACCCGACTGGCGCCTGGTATACAAGGAAAAATTATCACATTACTTCGAGATTAACAATTGTATTTGGAAAAATACTTCCGCAGATTTACGAGCATCACGGAATCAATGTTACAAATTGTTGTCGATCCTATGTGTCCGGATGTTTATTGCATAGTTTATTCTTTAATTCGTGGCGGGAATGAAATCTGGTTTCTCAATAAGAGTTTTTTGCGAAGCCACTTATATATACGTATGACAATAGAGTAAGATAGAGTCTATCGACATCCATTTAGGATTCTTGTGTTATATAACAATTGACGCGCCCTGGCGATTGCTGCAAGTAGCTTGTGCTATATCTTCTCTCTAGTGGAACCACTTCTCCATAAACTTCCTCATAAAAGATATAATTTGATGAGCCACCCTTTTGCCAAGTTTAACTTCTGAAAATAAACATGCTAAAGGGGCTTTTCAGGCTACCAGAAAAGGACAAGTCTCAAGTGAAAAATAACGAAAATTCGAAGAAATACGCTGTTCTTACGTCGAATTTATTTCACAAATCTAATATCAAGACTCGTGGTCTGAGAGACACACTATAAGCAAGGAACTACTAAGTGACAAATAAAAAAATGAAAAGGAAAATATCTATATATATGCTAGCAGCCATCTCCCTTCCAGACGGTTTTGTTCAACATAACGTATAGGACCGGCTAAACTACATTCCGTAAGTAAAGTTGTTCAGGACGCCAGTAATTTTCAAGAACTCACTGCACGTGGGGAAGTCCCTTTTTGGAAGATAATATTTCCTAGTAATCTGAGTGGTTTCTGTAATCCTGGTAATGAAATGTGGAAAGATTCACTGACATCCAAACGGACCACACGGACAGAAAATTCTTATATTTCGAAGATGTCACGTGTAGTCGGGCGTCCGCTGCGGTAATACCACCATCCCTTGGGCAAAGTCACGAAACGTCCTCAGTTGTAATTTACCAAATTCCATACATGTTTCATGCGATAATAATAGCTATGACGTTCTTATCAAGAAATGTAAAGAGACGCATTTCTATATTTCTCTACCTTCATCAGCGTCAAGAGTTTTTATGTTGATGACAAAGCTAAGCTAAGCTAAAGTGGAGGGCAGCTTTGAGAGGCCTCAACAATCTTTATACATCTTGCAAGGACGTTACCCTGGCTTTTTTATAGGGGATGTTTATACTTGACTATCAACATCACCTCACCACATCTGGGCAACATTGTGCCGCTACATTTTTATTTTGGCGGAACTAGCTTAAAGTACTTTAACTAATCCAATTAACCTTTTTGGTGTTGCGTAAGAGAAGCCGGTAAACTAAAGCGCGCAACAGCATTTCGCGTGATTCGAAAGGGGGGAGGGGTCGTTGAGCGAAAACCTCACGGAAAATAAATCAATTAAGCCAACAGATCAAAACTGAGGCTTTCTCAACATTACAACTTGTTTAAGACATGGTTAGCTCAGTTGGGAGAGCGCCGGTCTTCTGAGCGGGAGGTCGCGAGTTCAAACCACGGCCGGGCCAACACTCAGGGTCTTTAAATAACTGAGAAGAAAGTGCTGCCTTTGTAATGACATCTGCAAACAGTTAGGCTTTCTAGTCTTCTCGGAAAAGGGCCAAAAATCGTAGCACTTACACTTATCTGTTCTTGTGGGACCTAAAAGAACCCAAACCACCGTTCGAGAAGAGAAGGGGACTTAGAACCCGGTGGTGTGGCCACATCATTCACATCATGGCTTGGGTGAGTAGGTAAGCTCATAAATGAACCGATAGCGGCTGCCAGGGACGCCTTTGTATGCTGACATCCAACCTTACTATTAACATGATATAAATATATGTTGTAAAGAGGACACGTCTGTTGTCCTCTCATCCATGACCCCTTCCTTCCTTCACCGACACCTCGAACGCCAATCTAAGCCGTTACATGAAGAGCCAGCCAAACCATCATTAGAAACCAATAACCTACTTATAATTAAATATCTTACGTTTCAATAGTGGTGTAGGTCACTCTACAGAAATATTTTTAGATCACAGATAACCCCATCAAAACTATGTGTAAAGTAAATATAACGTTTCCGGATACTATTAAATACCACTGAGATAAGTGATAAAAGGAAATTCTTGACTGACCTTGCCAGGTTTCTCACTCTGAGCCTCTTTTGATTTCCAGCAGGAAATTATAGAGTCTTCTCCTCCTGTGAGTATGGTCTCAGACTACGATTAACACATGATTAGATAGTTAACACGATATACAAACAAACGAATCACGTCATTAAGGAAGTTAAATTACGCAACTAAAAACGTGGTCATAGAGTTACGCAACTATCAAAAACGTGAGCAAGCAAAGCGCGGTCAAGAGAGAGTCCAGCCTTTATCCCTAAGCACATTTCCGTTGCTTACAGTCAGTTTATAAACATTCTAGAAATAAAGATATCAAACAACTGTTTAAAATTATTTTGCCTGTTAAAGTATGGAAGATTTGCTTTCTTATAAAAAGTCTGTAAAGTCACGATTTATAGACATTTCACTATCTCTGTATATGGTCCAGATTTTACAAGGGACATGTTTCAAACTTCGTTCTCATAGCCACCTTCTTTTGGCAGAACCCTGAATCTTTCTACCTCCCAACCCCTTGTGGAAAAGAGTCGACACAAAAGCTTTTGGTGATAGTAGGCTGGAGAAATGGGAAAGGAAACAAGTCTCACCATGCAGTTTCACCAAAACAACTAACGGGTAGACGGGAAAGTTGAGCAACCTTCGCTGTTGTTCCAGATGATTGCCTTACACGCATGGTCAAAGGCTGATTAGCGATAATAAGAATCACAGAGAAAAAGTACACAAGAGCGCCGGGGAGGGCAGCCAAAAATACACTCTTAAACTTCACTCGGTTGCTACATCGGGGCGCTGAGTACCTTACCACTTTCACTCCGATCCTTAGCTAAAATCACTGAAAATCAGACAAAAAATTCGAAATTTCATTTTGTAAAATGCTGGAAAAAATAGTCCCATTTAAAAGTACATGTAACTGTTTCATTTGAATGGTCACATCGAACGATTTTGTCCATAAACTAAAAAGTTAGATCCACCTCACAAGACTCCAACAATCACTCTGGGACTGAGAAGGTTAACCACTGAAAAATCTGGGTGCTTTCCGTTGCTCAAAACGTCCCGAAATTTGACTGGAACATTGCCATCTTAGAGTAACCGAATAAGTGGTTTATCTCCTGAGTTTATCCTTTCTGACCGGTTGGTCTCGACCAACAAAAACTTCCTGCGCCCTAAAAAGTCCGCTTAGAAAAAGTTGTGGTTTTTGTGTGGACTGTGGGGAAGGCTGCACTGCCCTTGTCCAGAGATGAAAGGTGTCCCAGTCACAACAGTGCAAAATGCCGGACAACCATGAATCCCTCGCGTAAAATAACAAAGAAAAGAGAGAAGAAGTCTGAACAACTAGTTAATCGGTCTCATTAATGGTACACCATGGGATCTGAGATATGGTCCACAGAGTCTAAAGTTAACTTTGGAACTTCTGACACTGTTTATATATAAAGACCTTTTACATGTTACAGGAGGTCAGTTGGAGTTATTTCTCCCGCGATTGATATGAACAAACATGCACTACACTTTTTATGCGATTTTCACTACTCTGGGGCGCTAGAAAGACCCTCACCCTTCGCCTGAGTGTAAAGGATCAGTTTAACGACATAACTTTTATGTGTGCGTGTGCTTAAGGTCAAGTAATACGGGCAACATTTTTGCACAACTTGTCGCGCAACATTGTTGCGTTGCAAGTTGAAAAGCGTTGTTGCCCGTATTACCACCCTCCCTCTCAACTTGTCACGCAACAAATTTCGATGTTGCCAGTTGTGGCAACATGTTGCGCAAAGTAGACCTGAGTTCTACTTTTTGCAACAAACTTTCAATTTTATCATTTGTATCACAACTTGCTACACTTCACAACACTTGTGATTGGTCAATTTTCCCGCACCAAAAACGCGGGAAAGATGGTGGGGCAGCGCGCGCTTGACCTCGGGCATGTCCGACTTCGGCAGGAAGTAAACATAGCCAAGGTTGTGGAGGTTGAGAATGTTGAGACCCAAGATTGTGAATGTATTAGTGAAAAAATGTCAGAGGCCCAAAGAAAAGATTTGTGCAAAGAACTTGAAAAGCACCCATGTCTGTGGGAAACTTGTCGACCAGAGTATAAAAACAAGCCACGGAGGTCAAGAGCTCTGGATGAGTTATGTCAAAAAATTAACATTTCACCAAACTGTCTTAAAAAAAAAGTTATACATAGCCTTAGAAGGGTCTTAGAACGGCATTGACAAGGAATTTAAAAAAAGAAATCACAGAGGGTCAACAAGCCATTTTGTTTGCTGACACAAAAGCACACTGTTGACCAATCACAACGCATGATTTTTTTAAAGAGCCGCAACTTGCAACATCAAAATTTGTTACGTGACAAGTTGAGAGCGAAGATGGTAATACGGGCAACAGCCCTTTTCAACTTGCAACGCAACAATGTTGCACGAAAAGTTGTGCGAAAATGTTGCCCGTATTACTTGACCTAACTTTCAAATACATTTCCCATCTCACATACGCTATTCGTAAGCTTAAGCAACGTTCCCGGACGTCATGAATAGCAATGGCAAGTTCGATGTCTCACTTGATGGAAAACTTTTATCTCACACAACGAATCTAAATGCCTTTGTTTTAACTCCCGCTGTACGAATTTGTCGGGTCATAGCACCGAAAGAGAGAAAAATCAACTTCCGGTTGCCTTTTGTGACGTCCGGGAACGTTCTCGTTGCTTAAGGCCCCTATTATAATGTTTGTATAGTACGTTGAAACAAAGCAATCAAACACTCACTATGTGATCCCATTGAAGACATCGCACAATGGCTGTATGTCCTCCCATAAGTGGACAAGCAGACTCCAATTTAGAATCTTTTTCATGGAACATGTGAAGTCGGCCACTATTTCATAAGACACAGAGAAATACACTTAAGCTAAATAACTAGTAAGATATTGCCTTTAAATGGAACACAGCAGGGATAGAGCGCTATTCATGATACCACCCTTTGAAAAGACAGTTAACCCATTCACTCCCAGAGTGTTGTGAGGTAGTTCTATCTTTTGAGTCTGTGGACGAAATCTCGCGGTGTGACCATTCAAAGGCAACCACTTCGGCAGTACTTTCACACGGTACGTATTTGTTTTTCAGCACTTTACTGGATGAAATTTGAAGAATTTTAACTTTGGTCACCTATGACACTGCAGGGGTTATTAATATTCCGTCTCCATAGAGTTCGTCTTGTGTTGGTAATAAACCTACACAGGGAGATCTGAACCTTTTTCGCAGTCTGTACGCTTGATACATTAACAATGAAGGCTAAAAAGTTGAACCTCTATTAAGCGGCCACCCTCAGGGCACCAGTAAGTGGCCCCTTATGGCCGGCCCTTAATGTAGGCTGACCCAGTGCTTAAATAGAGGTCCGTCATAAGTAAAGACGTTCTTGAGCGACGCACGTCAACCGGAAATGAGGCCTTCTCCCTTTTTATATGCCTTGACGCACGTTCCTTGACTCTAACAAATTTGTCTTCCTAAGCGTCTTTTCTGTTATAAAGACGATTCACCCGAGAGTTTGACCCAAACCACTATCCCAGGATGGAAAAATTCCACTTCTGGTTGACGTGCGTCGCTCAAAAACGCCGTTGCATAAGTTCTTATTATCTTTAGCAGAAACATCACTTTACTCTATTAAAACAGACACGTGACGGAAGCATCATTAGTGGTCCACAATCAGCCGTCACCTTCTGTATATTCCCCGTCTTCATATGTTAAAAATCCAGGCAAACTAATAGTGTATCAAGCGCTTGATGGCCGATTAATAGAAGTGACAAAAATAGGACAACTCTCGCCCACGATGGCCAAAAAGTGTTGCGGTCGCTTAATGGCGTTGGACACTTAATTGAGGTTTCATCACAATTTTTTCCTACAATTATTTCGCAACTTTGATTACTGACCGCTTAATGGGGGTTCAACTGTATGTATTATTAAAAACCTTGCTCTTGGGAATATCACCGAAAAACGCGTTTTAATGCTAGTCGACCCGTCGCCTGGTCATGTTCTGGCTATAAAGAGCGAAAACGTACCACAAAGCCGTTTACAGGGCCTTCTGATCCTGATGGAAAATATTAGCTTCTGAAGTTCGGGCATGCGCAAAACGCAAAATTTCGAGATTTTGGGAGGTTTAAAGTGATACAGCAGTCTTGACATTTTCTTTTCCTGGGTATTTAGTAGGCTTCATTTTGGTGGGAAAATTTCTTGTGAAAGCTTTTAGAATCTTAGGACTAGATGAAACGAAAAGTAGGTGGGCCGTGAAAAAAGATTTTCGGGTCAACGTTACATGTTTTTTTGCCTTCAATGCGGACTCCTTGACTGAATCGTGCTCATTCTGGTATGGTTTAAAAGTTCTCTTCATTCCACACAACTTAGCGGACAAAGTTGTCCTCGACCGTTTAAATTGATAACGTTACATGTGGTATATGGGACGTGAATCCGCACGGGCGGTTACGAGCACTTTAGGGACGAATAGGTTAAGCGACCAACAAACTCACTTGAGAAAGACGGTTACCAAAACAGAAAGCGAACAGACTGTGGCTCCTTTCCAAGTACAACATTTTTACCTGTGTGTTCCTCCAACAAAAAACAGCTGATTTTTTAGTGGATGATAGATACCGTCAATGAAGTAATCCAGTCGATCTGCAGTCTAAATTCACACAAAGAATTAAAAAGAAGCAAATCAACATCACAATCAACACTGCGAAACAACGCTTCTCCAAAATGTCAATAAGTGCCGGGGCGTAATTGTTATCATAAGAACAACACGTAGAAAGATAAAAGTGGGTATGTAGTTCCTAGTGGGGTGGATAGGATGAGGGGATTAGGACGCACTTGGGGTCACGACTAAGGAAGTCCCTAGAGTACCTTCAAGAAGATGGAGTGTCAACTAAGGAAGCCTTAAGGATAAATCTAAGAAGGGTTAACTGAGCGGACATTGATGCCCTATTTGCCGTTTGTACATCTTCCGTAATACATCTCGTTTCCCCCGCCTCAAGATTTTCCATACGCATTGTTTTCAATTTCAATCTTATTCAGTTTCATTTAATTTGTCAAATGTTGGCGAAAGTTTCTGGGGTCGAATCCGAAAGGACCTATCGAAGTTTAGAAAAAGAAAAGGAAAATTTTATGTTTTGTTCATCTACTCCGTAAAGAGGGCGCGTGAAATTAGGAAGTTTTATGTCGCAGACGTGCAACGACGGCTAAGATATGTACAAAAAATCGTGATGCACGTGCAAAGTTGTTGTTTTGTCAATCTAAACCTATTGCTTTTTTGCCGTTCTCGTTGCCGTCGCCGTCGTCGTTGCTTAAACTCCCTAGTGTTGTGATCCAGGCCGCGGTTGTTCAAACGTTGGATAGCGCTATCCACAGGATAAAAATCTATCCACTGGATAGCGCAGTTGTTTTCCCTAATACTTATCCGCTAGATAGTGATTTATCCGATGGATAGCGCTATCCAACGTTTGAACAACCGCGGCCAGAAATTTTGCTACCATAGTAACGTGACGTCACACTTCTTCTCTCTATACCCAGGAGAAATTTAAAACAAAGGTTCTGCAAAAGTTGGAAAGGCAACAATGAAGGTGTACTAGGTAAGATGTGTAAATGGCCAATGGTTTCTCTGAAGAGGGTGGAGTGAGGGGATATGGAGGTTCTTTCAGTCCAGATCCAAACTTTAAATCGCCTCATATATTTTCCTGAAGTTTTCCCAATCTTGTTTTGTTTTCAACTCGCCATGGCAACCATTGCATAAAACTACGCATTATGGTTTAAAACGTACCCCATTTTCTTCTCTTGGATTTTTAAATTCAGTAGTCATTGTCGTCTGAAAAAACATGAAAAAAAAAAGGTGAATATCATTCAAACATGATCACCTACTAAGGACTGCATTTTTGGTCCAGCCAGTGTCTGAACCCGGTGCACTCCACCTAGCAAAACAGCACCTATACTACTTTGGGGTCAATTTAGATTTCTGAGAAACTGCCCACCTACCCCTTCCCAAAGCTAACATTAACACTTACTTCTCACTCAGGGCAAAATAATGGCTTAGGAGAGGGGTAGGTGGGCAGTTTCCCAGAAACCTAAATTAATCCCAGCTTTGTTAACCCTTTGAGCTCCAATATCCACATGCAAATTCTCCAGACTCATCCCTCATCACCCTCAAAATTTGGTAGTGCAGGGATGGCTAAGAAATTTACCAAAAAGCGTGATGCGCGCAAAGTTGTTGCTTTACTCCTTAAATAAATTTTTTTTGCCATTGCTGTCATACTTCCCTGTTATTCAGCTGGGAAGGCTATAATAATTTCTTGTAGATTGTGAACACATAAATGAGTATCAGCAGTTCCTAGTAATATCCTTTTTTTGTATCCAGGTAGCTGGCATTCAAATACAAAGTAAGTCCATAAAATACAAAGCAAGAGCCTTGCCTCAGGTACATCCCAGAGTTGAAGCGTCTCTATATGGGTCACACAATAAAGACTTGAATAAGATGGTCCAAAATAACCAAGTTGACTCTGGAAAGAAAGACACAATAATTATTAAAACTCACAAATACTTCACAAGTTGCAAGCAGAAATGTCCTTCCCCAGATGGGAGGTCAGACTGACATAAGGATCTTGTCAGTAATATTTATGTACTTGATGCAATATGAATAAATAATTGTTGGCCATCTATACTCCAGGTAGTGGTGAAATATAAAAAACAGGAAGACCCAGTTAACGGCACTATGCAGCCTCTGAAAAACTGCAGCCTGCAAGATCACACTATCCTCCTATTGACCAACTAGGGCCTGGGAGGAAAAGGACAATAAAACGAATAAATGATTTTATGGTCCTTTATGATCATTTGCATCACAACAACTTCTTTTCACTTATATCATCTAAGCATGGGTATAGTACAAGGCTAGCATCAAAGTCAACTTATTATATTGATCAGGTTAGAGCTAATTACGGTAAAGTTAATATACACTTCTCTGGTCCTTCTGTTTGGAATAATCACCCTTATTAATGTAAACCCTATAGTTGTCTGGTACTATTTTGTTTTGTGTTGCTCTATAATTTTAATTAATTAATTAATATATTCATTTTCATTACTATTATTTTTTCTCATAAATTAAAGTTGTTTTCCTTTTTATCTTTCGTGTGTCTCAACCCTATAGAATGTAATTTAATTATTGTAACTACTCAGCTAGTTTAGTTTTTTGCTATTCTGAGTAGTTTTTTCCTGATCTATTTTAATGTATTCTGTTTTTTGTAAACGTGGCAAATAAAGTGGTTGTTTGTCTCTATATAAGGAGGCTGAATGGCTAAAACAGTGAGAGTGCTGGACAATCTAAGGGCCTCAAGTTCAAGCTGCACCCTAAAAGGGCTAGCAGCTGGCTGGATTTGTTCTTAGCAGGGCTATGTTTGTTGGGATTCTTACTTGTTCTGTTTACACTTATTATTTGTTCCTTTCCTTACTTGTTCCTGTACTGGTGGAACACAATGTAAAGGTCTTTAGTTATCCCTATAAATTCTTTTTTTTTTTCAACTTTAATTACCCCTCTATTTTCTTTTTTTCCTGTACCATGGTTTAACTCAAATAAATAGCCTCATAAAAATGGCTTACTGCTATTTCCATACCACAGATGAGCATGTGTTAAGTACTGAGTCCAGACAGTCGTCCTCACTTCCTTTACGTATGTCAAACAAACAAATCAAGCCATCCTGAAATTAATTCAAGTTATGCTTCAGTTTTCTTAAAATCACTTATTAAGTTGTCATTGTCAAGTTGTAAACACTGTCATCTTTTTATTCGTCATTAGAAAAATAATACCCTTTCTTTAGGGACCTTGTCTTTTACGTCACCACTCCTATGACAAAAATGTTTCTGAGAACAATATTTCCAATTTTCATATACAAACTACATACTTACAGTTGAACCAGAAGCCATTTGGTGGGTCTGTAATGGACTAAACTGAATCTAAAGATAACCAGGATGGGTAATTTAATCATTTATTTTCAATCAAAATGTCAATAATTAGAATTAATTTTTTTGAAAAAATCAGTCGGTTTGAACTAACGGGGGCTTGAAATGGTGGGGTCAGTGTTGAATTTCATGAATCTGTTAGTAATATTATTGTAATATTATTAATAAGTTGTTACATTTTTTTTTCTTTATTTACAACACTTCTTCATCTTGAATTGACATACACTGTATACAATTTTCCATGTCAAAAATGTGACAGCCTCAGAATCAAGTTAAATTTGTAATCAATATTTTCTCATGAACATCAAGAATAATGTTGTGGTTCAATTTTACCCTTAGTTAAAAGTTTATTTTTCTTTGTTTCAAACTCATTATCATGCATTATCACACCCCAAAACAAAAGAAAATAAAATTTAAACCATAGATAAAATTGAACCTTAAAAATAACATCAGTACAGGCACCAGGATTCCATGTGTTCTCAGACTGACAGACATTTAGCAAAGACAGCAAGAGTTTTTGAGCATGTTAGCACTTGGCAATAAAAGTGTTTCCCTCCCCCTGTTCCACATGATATCAGTGTTACTGTAATGGGTTGCAAAACCACAGGTCCTATAAAATTAATGTCCTATAAAATTAATGTTAACCTCAGACTCCAACTAAATCTACTCCTCCTGTTTATTATTAATATAAAGTATTTTAGTCATAAGATTAATGAGATACTCTTTAATTTATAAATAATCTAAGAGCATAATGGAAAATTAAAAAAAAAATAGCTTGATGTTATTATTATCGCTTATATTAAAATAATAATCTCCTCACAAATAAAACTGTTGTTAAAAATTCAATTAGACTTGTAACACCAGTTGTAACAAATATTATTTTATGAAGATTAGTATAATAATAATTACTGTGATGTAAATAATTTAGTTTTTTCCTTCCTTTTCTTTTTTCTAGTAGTGCATTGGTCTGTATTCTTGTATTTTGATGTTGTTATATATTGCAAAAAAAAAAATAGTGTAATGGGTGCCAGTTCTCAGTGCTGTGAGGGACTCACAGTTGAATTCCTAATCTTTATAACGTAGCTAGAATATTCGCCTAATCAAATTCAATAGCGAGAGCATGCTTCATATTCCCATTGAGCACGCTGATGATGTCAATAAACTATACCTCGACTTCTTGTGACCTTAGCAATCGTCCCAAGACGTCTCCCAAGTGCATCCATAACTCAACAGTACACAATAAAGCATTAACCATGTGTTTTATAATGTACATTCAAGAGAAAACTTTTGAATTTGTAAACCAATAGTAGGGAAAAGAGGTGAGTGTTGTAGTTGTTGCTCTTGTCATCTGCATGGCGTGTGCAATCATTCTTTGCAAAGCTATTTCTTTCAAAAAGAATTTTTCGGTCAATTAATAGTTTTCCAGCAACTCAACATGGATTTTACGATCTTTTTGAATGTTATCCTAAGCAACTTTAGTAAACTTTCTCTCAATTTCATAACAAAAACATAACTGTGAGGTAAAAAAATATATCATGTAGACACTGAAGCATGCTGGTTTGAGCATGCGCTACAATAATAAAAATTTAAGTTAACTTCTGCATTGATCGCTTTGACAATGTTATATAACAATTAGTTCATGCTTCAGCTGTGCATGCATATGTTGAGATATTGAGCAAGTTTGGAGAGCACTCAAGAGGCTAGAGTTGCTCTCGGCTACACTTCGAGCAACTCTTACTTAACTAGAGTTAAGTATGTGGACAATCTCTCAGTCTTAGAGATTATTCCTAGATGTTCAACCAGCATGCTGCCCTTTGTAGCTAGGGATATTTGTTCTCATGCTAGTAGTCATGGTATGAAGCTAAATCCATCCAAATGTAAAGAGTTACTCATAGATTTCTTACAGTATAAGCCCTCCGACCTACCTCCCTTACAGATGTCGGACAGTATTATAGAGCAGGTGTCATCTTATAAGTTGCTCGATGTCCATCTGTTGCACAATTTATCGTGGTCTATTCACTGCGACTATACTGTGAAGAGAGCATGCAAGGGTCTCTACGTTTTGCGTGTCTTAATGAAATCAGGCCTCCCACCAGATGATCTCAGGTCTCTCTCAGGTTTATTGTAGCCTTGTGCGGCCCATTTTAGAATATGCATCTCCGGTGTGGGCAGCGTTACCCAACTGTCTGGTTCAATTGGTGGAAAGCGTGCAGAAGTCTGCACTAGGAATCATTTTTCCAGATTGCTCTTATGAGTTGGCACTCGTGCGCTGTGGCTTGCCTACACTGTTGTCGCGCCATGATGAGGCTTGCAGGCATTTTATATCTAACATCAAGGAGTCCGGGTTCCTTTCACACCTGCTGCCGCAGCCCACGAATGTCGCTCATGGGTACGGACTGGTTGAGGTCGGGTTTTTCCCGTTCTGAATTCCGCTTTGTGAGAATGGACCGCCTTAGTAATTTTGTTACCCACAGTTACAATAGGATTTAAAAATTGTTTTTGCCTTCTTGCCATGTGTAATTATGTGTTCTGCGTATTCTTGACCTCCCTTGTAATTTAGTGTTATACACTACCAAAGAGTTTAATAAACTGATTATTATTATTATTATTATTACACCTTTTTCGTGCTCTCCAAACTTACCACATGCTCAATATCTCAACATACGCATGCTGACTCATGAACTAATTATTAATTGGTCATTTAACGACTGACGGGTGTTGATCCAGTACAGGTTTTCTTGGTGCCTTAGCTTCTGTACTTTTGCTCTCTCAATAAAGTCCAACTTAGAAGATACACCAGAAGAAGAAATGTCCCTTACTAAGTAGAAACACATGCTTAAAAAAGTAACATTACAACGATACTGTGAAAGGTTGAACCTAGGAGTAACTTCATAAGTTGGGTAAATACTATCCTTCATAAATATAGATCCCCTGAACATCTTAAGTTACACCTAGACAATCTTAAGTGACACCTAGACACCGAGGAATGGATCCACTTCTATTAACCATGTGCACATGGTAAAATGGCAGTATAAATGTACAATGTACTTTCATTGTACAGTTATTATATTACCTGTGTTATTTCACCATTATGGGAGTCTGTAAATACCTCCATATAACTCTGCAGCATCTTATTGCCTAGTTTCCTTGTATCCCTACAAAATAGTAACTCAGAGCTTATGTATTCTATACATAAATAATGAAAATAATGACATTGCTATCTAAAACCGAATGTCCTTTTATGATCACCAAAGGGACACACCCAAGTTTCAGGTGTTGGTATTACCTTTGGCATCTCTGGGGTTAAGCAGAAGTGTCCATTTGCAGAGATTCAGGAGAGTGTATGGGAAACGGCAATACCTTTGAGACAAGAAATCTTACCAAAGGTACAGGCAAACATCTTCACCATATGGGTCTGTAGCAGCTGCTATGATCTCATCAGAACAGTTTAAACCACAAGCAGAAAAGGGACAATTGTTTGGACCTGGAACAATGTGAGCAAATATATCAGCAAGTAAATAAATAACGATTTAGAGATGGCACATCCACATAATGGTACTTCATATACAATTCCTGGTCAAATTGGAATTTGGAAATGTTGCTTTTTGAGGAGAGAGGAATACCAGAGTACCTGGAGATAAACCTCTCGGAGTAAGGAAGAGAACCAACAATAAACTCAACGCATATAATATGGAATCAATGCTGGGATTTGAACCTGGGCCACATTAGTGGGAGGCAAATTCTCTCACCTCTGTGCCATCCCTTGCTCCCTTAAAATGAATGATTTTAAATTTTTTACATTTGTCGAGCATCATTAAATTTTCAAAAGCTACTCTGATTAATTTGTCTATTAGCACAATTACATTGCAGCTGTAAAGATCCAATTTAGTGCCTGCAGTGCTTATTATTTTCATCAAAAGGACTTAAGGAAGAGTGAATTACAGGGATGTTTCTACCTCCGTCACAAACAACCAGCTGAATCATCATCACAAAAGTTAAAGAAGTGATTATCAATTCAATAGAATTGACCTGCTCTTTAGAAGGAAGATGGTCTGACAACTTACTCAGAATTCTGTACACTGGTGTCCTGTATCCTTCCCTCGTGTCCCAGAAACTAAAAAGATATTAAAAAGGGTCACTATATTAAAATCTACTTGAAAGATTACTGCAACACTTGTTAAATATTTCCAGCTTGTGTATTGGTTTTTTTTTATGGCAACATTTGATTCAAGTATTCTAATGAGTGACACTCATAATGAAATGCTAATTTATAAATGAAATAATCAAATGGACATTACTTTTAATATAATGTAAGATTGTTACTGTCAAACTCAAAAAACCGTGAACACCTGAAAAATTTTAGGAATGTTGATTGTTTACTGGCCCATCACAATAAAGTTTAGGACACACGAGCAAACCTCAAAACCACGAACTAATTACCGTTGCTGTTTGCGGTTTCGTCATCTCGTGCCTTATTGGTTTATTTCTTGCAACACAATGACATTCCATAAATATTTCTGGTGTTCACAGTTTTGTGAGTTTCACAGTAAGTGTTGAAAACTTTAACTTGAAAACAATGTCACCATTCTGACTAAGAAATATTTTGTACCTGACCGCTGTATCAGAGGATGTTGTCCAGAAGCAATGCTGGTTCATTCGACAAAAGTTCAAACCTGTTATCCTTCCATTATGAGCTGTGAAAAATAAACAATGAAAGTCTCTTCAACCAATCACTTGCTCTGAGTCTGTATAATATTTTAGAATATATTATAAGACTACTGGAATTTTATTTGAGATTGCATTCCCTTTTTCTTTCAAAAACCTTAAGCAAACCTTATGATAGACTGTTCAGTCCCCTATTTTTCCGTAAGATCATCGAGATCGAGCGCTTTGCATTCCGGGCTGCCATCTTAGATGAGTGTCAAAACTACTTAGGGGGCGGGGGCGGGTTGGGAGGAAGCGAGAAAAATAGAGGGACTGTAATAACATCACTGCAGCTCGTGTTCAGGAGGCGTGACAGGAATTTCACGCCTTTTACCATTCATTAATTAAGAAACTCCGCTAGTGATGAAAAACATGGCAGACACATTTAGCATCGATTACACGTGTTACAAATATCTCCTTTCGAAACAGTGATTTTATAATGTTTCTAGGCCCATTCCTCGAAATAAAATCGGCAAACACACACAAGAAAACATTTTTCTAATCAAAATACCAAAAATCCTTCGTGTGTTTGCGCAAGATGTGCCTTATGGTATGAAAGCATACGTTTTATGGAAATATCGACTTGTCAACGACTTGTCAGTATCGTTGTCAACGCAAATAAACATCTATTGTCTAATGACTAATCAAATGCCTGCGTTGCTGGTACAACGCGCTCCTTGAACGCGAGCTGCAGTGTTGTTATTACAGTCCCTCTATTTTTCTTGCCCCCCCCCCACCAGAGCTATAATCCCCGACGCCCGCCCCCTCGGTACATTTGAAAATCAAGATGTAGCTGTGACGGTAAGACGCGCTATATCTAAACGATCTCACGAAAAAATAGGGGATGGTGAACAGTCTAACCTTATGATTCAGCCATGATTAATGGACAAAGTACTATTTTTTTTCATATTCACTTGCACTGAGTCTAAAAATATGAATTTGTAACTTAATAGCTACAACTGAATTTGAAGAAACCTAAACATATGCGTGCAAACTCTACAGCTTCATAAGGCTTCCTTTTCACATTTCCTAACTAAAGATCTACAAGTTTCTATTAATGCAATTTAAGTATCCTATGTGATAAGCACATGGTCAGCAAACTGAAATATTTTGTTGGTTTTGCAGTTGTGTAAACACTTGAAGACAGTGATCAAGCACACAATCATTTATTCGGTATCATCGAACACTTAACAGTGGTCACCACGTTGGACTCACAAGCAGGAGTTGGAGGATTTGAGTCCCGTTTTGACTGCTAGTTGGATTTGTTTCTCCATCACTCCATGTTCGTTCAACTTCTCTGTCATGCTTGTAATTAACTAACTGGTTGCCTTCTGCTTGGGGTTTTTAATCCTGTTATTTTCTACTTAATTTACTTGTTTCTTATTATTTGAGTGTGGGAGTGCCTGTAAACTAGCTGAAAAGGCTAAGTGCTCTTCCACAAAGTATTTCCCACTTGAATGCACCACTCCTTCTACATGTTTTATTTTAATGATACTCTTTC